CTAAGGGTCGTTACGGTCATGTCCTTTACCTTTTTTTGTAAGATAGTACTAAGGGTCTTTAAGGTCATGTCCTTTACTTATTTTTGTAAGATAGTACTAAGGGTCTTTAAGGTCATGTCCTTTACCTTATTTTTGTAAGATAGTACTAAGGGTCTTTAAGGTCATGTCCTTTACTTATTTTTGTAAGACAGTACTAAGGGTCTTTAAGGTCATATCCTTTACTTATTTTTGTAAGATAGTACTAAGGGTCTTTAAGGTCATGTTCTTTGGTTATTATTGTTGAATACCAAACAATAGAAAACCAAAAATTCAACAGGAAAAACATTGGTGAATTCCCAATCAATATATAGAGACCATTGTTAGGACTGTTCTTAACTGTATTTTTTTGTCTTTAAATAATAATTTGCTTTTTGGACTCTGGCATAATATTTCATTTCTGATATCAAAAGCCTGTTGTATTAAAAAAATAGGAAACAAATAACATGTTTTTGAAAGACATTAAATCCTTTTTTAGAACTTTTTTTTTGTTCGTAGTTTGTTGGTAATAAATATGAATCACATATGATGGGATAGTGGAGAAAGAGTGCCTATAAGATAGGGTCACATCACATTCCTTTTGGCATTGCTAAGTTAACCTTTATGGACATTACCCAAATTAGTTTTCGTTGTAAATACTATCCTTGTGGACGGTTCATTAGAGTCTTTTGTTTCAACTAAGCAAAGCAATACGTCAGGTAGACATATCCATGACACTTTATGTCACGTTTGACTAATATGTTAGACCACGCGACATCTGACAGGTATGTCAATATTTCGTAAGTAGTGTTTCTGTGCACCACGTGATACAGGCGCTAAAATCAAGGCTGCTTACAGCTGCAACGATTGGAGACACCTACCTGCTTACAACGGTGAAAGACACCCACCTGCAGGTATGTTATTTTTTCTGGTGTTGCATGGTTTTTGCAATCAGTTATTTCTTTAAGATAAGTAAACTAAATGGGGTTTGCCATACAAGTAGTTCTCTTAGATAACAATTACACATTGTTTCTATAATGTTTGTTCCTAGTTTTTACTTTTGAAAATGATGATTTAAGTTCTATATAACAAAATTATACAAACCTGTCCCATTGTTTGGTGATCACGGATCGAGTTAAATATGCCGGTACCATTTGCTTGGGGATTTCAGGGAGCTATTCAACCAACCTGTATTTGCTAAGTAGACTATCTTGAAATTCATTTGCAGTTTTATAAAGGATAGATTTTATTACACCGCGTTTTCATCACATTGTTCCATGGATGAGTACATCTTGGAATCTTCCAAGTGAATGTAAATAATACATCTGATTTCGTTTGTTAAAGTGCTGCAGCTTTTTTTCATATGTAGGAAAGTTAATAACAGATTCGCAAGGAAAGCAACATCCAAGTTAATCATGACAAATGGTTATGGTTTCACTTCTAGGTATGACATGAAGAGATTCGGAAATTTGAATAATATTGATACATTTATATGTTTTAAAGTAACATAAATTCTATACGTATGTTAGCTCAAGATAACGCCAAAATCATAGTTTTTAATTTTTCGAATATTACAACTTTGTTGAGATTAGATTTCATAAATAAATTATACGGAAGACATCGTTCATACTAACAAAGTATTCTAAATTTGCAATAAATGGTTTTATCAAATACCAATTTATTTTTTATACAATAAGTTTTTATATGTATTGCATCTTGCATCATGCACAATGTGTCAGAGGGTTCAATTTTAGCCGAAGAAAATTTCACATTAATTAATTTCTCCTATCATCGAAACAATCAATTTGCAAAATAATCTCCCTTTCGAAGGCACACCATGTTAAATCTAGACGATATCACATGAAACATGTCATATCCTTGGGGGTGACATGGACATCATTTTCGAAAAAGGGCGTTTGATAAATGGCAAGGCCTGCTGAAAGATTGGTTTATCCTTTTAGATAAGACGTATCAAGTAATACTGCCCCAGGGGTTACAGAGAAATCTACAATCTGTTGTCATATCACCGTTACAATCAATCGATAAATTATTTGACAAGGAAAAAAACTGTTTGGCATTTGCTTGATGTTAAATGCTAACAAACAAAGCCTATACTAAGGATATCCTATAAAGACCGAGAGCTGGTGTTTACATAAATACTTGTCGATAACTTTATTCTTTATCTCATACGAATGACATTGCTTAAGGAAATGTTTGTATCTATTCGTGTATCAATATTATTTAAAATAATTAAGCCACCAGTAGATACACAAACATTGTATATAAATAATTTAGGGCTGTAAACGATGGCATCGTTTCGTATCGTATCGCGATAATTTCTTGTGTATCATTTTGTTTTGTTTACCTATATCGTCATACTCAAACTTATTTAGTTATTATATCAATCTTTATCAAACACTAAAATTGGATTAGTTTTAATCGTTCAGCAGAGGTGTGGTCAACTGTGCAGTCATACACAGAAAGTATTAGAAATTACACATATTAAAAGCATTTACTATGAAAGAGTATAGCTTCACTAATACAATTATAAAGTTTAACCTTTGAGTATACACTTGTATCGTGATATATATAGAAATATAAGCATCACATCGCGGTATGTATTTTATTGTGAGTTAAGTGTATCGTTAATAACTTGGACTCTCTGTCTTGAACATCTTTTTATCTTGTTGACTTCAGTATTCATACATGTATTGGGAGATTCAGCATCTGTACAAAGACACACAAGTAAATGATATTTGTAAGACTGTACAAAGACACACAAGTAAATAACATCTGTATGTCTGTACAAAGACACACAAGTAAATGACATTTGTAAGACTGTACAAAGACACACAAGTAAATGACATTTGTAAGACTGTACAAAGACACACAAGTAAATGACATCTGTAAGTCTGTACAAAGACACACAAGTAAATGACTTTGTAAGACCGTACAAAGACACACAAGTAAATGACATCTGTATGTCTGTACAAAGACACACAAGTAAATGACATCTGTATGTCTGTACAAAGACACACAAGTAAATAACATCTGTATGTCTGTACAAAGACACACAAGTAAATGACATCTGTAAGACTATACAAAGACACACATGTAAATGACATCTTTAAGTCTGTACAAATACACACAAGTAAATAACATCTGTAAGACTATACAAAGACACACAAGTAAATAACATCTGTGAGACTATACAAAGGCACACAAGTAAATAACATCTGTGAGACTATACAAAGACACACAAGTAAATGACATCTGTATGTCTGTACAAAGACACACAAGTAAATGACATCTGTATGTCTGTACAAAGACACACAAGTAAATGACATTTGTATGTCTGTACAAAGACACACAAGTAAATAACATCTGTATGTCTGTACAAAGACACACAAGTAAATAACATCTGTAAGACTATACAAAGACACACAAGTAAATAACATCTGTATGTCTGTACAAAGACACACAAGTAAATAACATCTGTATGTCTGTACAAAGACACACAAGTAAATAACATCTGTAAGACTATACAAAGACACACAAGTAAATAACATCTGTATGTCTGTACAAAGACACACAAGTAAATAACATCTGTATGTCTGTACAAAGACACACAAGTAAATAACATCTGTATGTCTGTACAAAGACACACAAGTAAATAACATCTGTATGTCTGTACAAAGACACACAAGTAAATAATATCTGTATGTCTGTACAAAGACTCACAAGTAAATAACATCTGTATGTCTGTACAAAGACACACAAGTAAATAACATCTGTAAGTCTGTACAAAGACACACAAGTAAATAATATATGTAAGTCTGTACAAAGACACACAAGTAAATAACATCTGTGAGACTATACAAAGGCACACAAGTAAATAATATCTGTATGTCTGTACAAAGACACACAAGTAAATAACATCTGTGAGACTATACAAAGGCACACAAGTAAATAATATCTGTAAGACTATAGAAAAACACACAGGTAAATGACATCTGTAAGACTATACAAAGACACACATGTAAATGACATCTTTAAGTCTGTACAAATACACACAGGTAAATAATATCTGTAAGTCTGTACAAAGACACACAAGTAAATAATATCTGTAAGTCTGTACAAAGACACACAAGTAAATAACATCTGTATGTCTGTACAAAGACACACAAGTAAATAACATCTGTGAGACTATACAAAGGCACACAAGTAAATAATATCTGTATGTCTGTACAAAGACACACAAGTAAATAACATCTGTATGTCTGTACAAAGACACACAAGTAAATAACATCTGTATGTCTGTACAAAAACACACAGGTAAATAACATCTGTGAGACTATACAAAGGCACACAAGTAAATAATATCTGTATGTCTGTACAAAGACACACAAGTAAATAATATCTGTAAGTCTGTACAAAGACACACAAGTAAATAACATCTGTATGTCTGTACAAAGACACACAAGTAAATAACATCTGTGAGACTATACAAAGGCACACAAGTAAATAATATCTGTATGTCTGTACAAAGACACACAAGTAAATAACATCTGTATGTCTGTACAAAGACACACAAGTAAATAACATCTGTATGTCTGTACAAAAACACACAGGTAAATAACATCTGTGAGACTATACAAAGGCACACAAGTAAATAATATCTGTATGTCTGTACAAAGACACACAAGTAAATAACATCTGTGAGACTATACAAAGGCACACAAGTAAATAATATCTGTAAGACTATAGAAAAACACACAGGTAAATGACATCTGTAAACATCACCGAAAGAGCAAGAGTTGAAACATGGCGGTTTACAAATGTTAAGTTGTGTGAGTCCCTTTAAAAGGTTGTCCGATTTTTATATATTCAAAAATCATCTTTTTAAATTCATTTCGGAAAAAAATTGTTAATTCATGTCCCCTTATATTACCTAATTTTACTATATCTTTTTGTGTAATTATAGGATGACTTTCTATCGGATTGTAGAACAAAAGGTAGCTGGAGCATTCATCACATACGGGCGCTTCATTGCAAGGTGGCCATGGTTCGCCATTTTCTTCAGTGTCATGCTGAACGGAATTCTTGGAATAAACATATACTGGCTTTCCCATGACACCAACCTTGAACGGTTGTATAACCCTACAAACAGCGAAGCAGAGAGGAATCGAGCTGAGGCTAAGCGGATTTTCCCGGAAGCGAGCGGAACCAACTTTGAGCACCACAGTTTAAACGACCTTGGTCTCTATGGAGAGATCATTATCAGACCGAAATCTAGTAAGAACATACTTAACAAAACATATATTGGGGAAATGAGGAAGCTGTTCGCCACAATTAACAACATTTCTGTAACGGGAGACGATGGCGAAGTTCATAATTACGAGAGTCTGTGCGCTAGGCGAAACGGAGCGTGCATTGTTGATGGCTTGTATCTTATCACCGACGCTTTCTGGAGAAAACTCGAATCCAGACAGATTAAAGAGGACATCATGTTTGGAATAAGCACTTTGGGTGAACCTGTATTTATCAACAATTCACTGGTGTCGGCTACAGGTATAAAGATGCAGTACAATCTTCGACAGGACACTCCCGCCTACAAGTCTTTAGCTAGGCGTTGGGAGAAGCAGTATCTAGCCTCGATGGCACAGGTCACTTTGGATGACTTTGACATAGCCTACTCCATGTCTGACTCGCTCAGCCAGGAGCTCAACGATAACACGCGCGGTGATGTCGCGCTTTTCTCAGTTACATTTTCCCTTATGATCACCTATGCTTCTATTGTTGCTGTCGGTGGAAACTGGGTTTCACAAAGAGGTAACCTGGGAAGGGCAGGCGTACTTCCGGCCGGACTAGCGATTCTGGGTTCGTTTGGTTTCTGTTCTGCCGTCGGTGTAGACTTCGTCAACATGGTTGGGATAATGCCCTTCCTTATATTAGGTAACATATTCACCCCCATTCCCTTTTTTTGAAAGCAAATTGATCATGTGAAGTTGTCACCAATCTTATTATTTTGAGATGAATCGATGAATTTGATAAATGTTCGTAAGTGTATGATCACGATGCATATATCGCTAGCTTTGCAGTAGATATCACAGTTTCAAAAAGGCATTGGATTAATTTTATACGAAATGTAACTGAAATAACATTGCTTTATTTTGAATTTATAAGAGCATATACTTAACTTTAACTACCGGAACTCCATTAACAAATCAAGGCATGTGGTATTGTTTTACGATGTGTCGTTGCAAATTCAAACCAATCGATTCTAAATAGTTTTCTCCGTCCATTTAAAATAATGTTATGAAGTTTCTTTAAATACTTAAAGGTATGTATACTTTATCCCAACAGGTATAGGTGTGGATGACATGTATATCCTCATGTCAAGTTTGGCCGATGCACCGTTTGGTGCAAGCGTGGAAGACAGAATATCTTTTACACTGCAAACCAGCGGTGTAGCAATAACGATCACCTCCGTCACAGATTTCATCGCATTCATGGCCGGCACTTTGTCGGTATTTAAAAGCGTCCGTAATTTTTGTCTATACACAGGTAACTATTGTCATTTTAAATTCATATCTGTATGTACATTTATATTATTTAAATACACACTCATTGTAAGATAAAGTGTTGTCTTGGGAAAGAAAACGGAAACACTTCCTTTTGCATCCCATTCTATTTTTATTAGGGATGAAAAGTCCATATACATAAAGCAGGTTCATTATCAAGGACGCAACAGCTCAACAAACTAACGGTACAAAATAAATTTTAATATCAAACATATGTTATTTACTGTTCAGGTCATCAATAGATAAATATTCAATGATGACATTGTTAGGGGGTGGGGGTCGGGGTTATTTGTATTATGGGGTGCACGAAGAAGTCTTACCAAGAAATTCCTCTTCTGCTGATAAACGGTAAAATTTTGATACCTAAGTGTAAATTATATAATGATTTCAAAAATTGTATTCATATCATTGCCTTTAAGATTCAGCATGATGTTCCTACTATCAAGTTATATATCGTGTTATTTATTTTGTATTTAAAGGTGTCGCTGTTGCTCTATGTTACATCAATGTCATTACGTTCTTCCTCGCCTGTATGGTTCTGCACGAGCGGCGTGTCACTCAGAATCGCCATTGTCTCACCTGCATCCCGTTAATGACTGGTGAGGAGAGTAGAAAAGCTAACAAGTCCAAGACACACCTGTACTGCTGCACTGGCCGTCCCGCAACATCCAGAGAAGAATACGAAAGTGTCTTTGAAAAACTCCCTCGTCTCTTCCTTCCAAAAACTGTTCTGTTTAAACCGGCGAAAATTGGTATCTTATTCACATATCTGATATATCTAGCGATTTCTATCTGGGGGGCAAGTAATCTGGAAGAGGGTCTGAAGTTAAAGAATTTAGTTTCTCCTGATTCCTATTATCACAGATTTAGCCAATGGAACTATCAATATTTTGATCTCAAGATGTTAGTAACATTTATTGTACCGAAGCATTACGATTACTCAAACCAACGGACATATGATTCCCTACAAAGTCTTATGAGTAGCGTGAAAACTGACCACAAAATTGACCATCAATACGAAATTAACTGGTTGAAAACAATGCATGACACCGGTTTTTATGACCAAAAAGCAAACATCTCTGAGGTGGCATTTGTAAAATCTGTTCACAGATTCGTAAATACATATAAAGCGTTCGAAAATGACGTCGTGTTTGATGAAAAAATCGAAAAGATCATTGCTGCGAAGTTCCATCTGTTTACCAGAAACATCAAAACATCACAGGAGCAGGGTGGATTAATGGTGCGCATGCGCAATTTTGCTTCTGATTCAGAGTTGAATGTTTTCGCTTTCTCCCCTTGGTTTATCTACTTTGAACAGTTCGTGGCCGTACTTCCCAACACTTTGCAGACAGTGGGCGTGGCTATCGTAGCAGTTTTTATCATAACGTGTCTATTTATGCCCAATCCGAAAATCATTCTCTTTGTCACAATGACAATGGCATCTATCATTCTGGGGTTGATCGGCTTTATGCATCATTGGGGCCTGTCTTTAAGTTCCATAACCATGATCCACGTGATCATGAGTGTTGGTTTCTCCGTTGATTTTTCAGCCCATATTTGTCACGCGTTTGTAACAGCAGACGGTACAGATCGTAACGCGCGCGTTAATACCGCTATTGTACGAGCTGGTGGACCTATTTTCAATGGCGCTTTTACATCTATCATTGGGGTTGTAATGTTGGTGTTTTCGAAATCCTACGTGTTCGTGTCATTCTTTAAAGTGATGACTCTCGTGATCGTGTTCGGGGTTTTCCATGCCGTTCTCGTTCTACCCGTTGTACTGTCTTTGTTTGGTCCCGATCGATCGCTTAATACCGTTCAAGAAGTATATGGCGAGCATAACCCCCAAAACGGTCATGAGATTAAAATGAAAGATGGTGAGGTTAATCATGCTTATCAAATGGGAAACTAGACAGTGGAAAACCTGTCATTAGTGCTACAATTATGCTGCATATTTGAAAACATTTGTTTATCTCTAGCTAATGTACGTGTACTTGTTCGTTTTAAATATTTTAGCTTACATGTATATCTGATTGATATAAGTTACGTGTCATTTCCAAGCGAATTGTTACTTGTGTCAATCTGTTTATCGACATCCTGGATATGTTACATGGTAGTTAGATATGACAGTTCACATATAAATAACTATTCTATTTCCCTGCAGTTTTAGTCTGATCAGCTGATCAATACCAGCCTCAATTATCTCCTCATGTAAGTCATACAAATAATATCAGTTGCATTAGTCCAACTATTAATCCTATGTGGACGATACTGCAAAATAATTAACACAAAAAACACCATACATCTGTGTCAATGATGGGTATGTACTGTTAATGCTTTAAGGAGAGAACTTATACACTTTGCTTGTTGTCATATTCCAGTTTTTTTTGTGTTTTTGGGGAGTTTTTTGTTACAATATTACAAAATATTTCGAAGAAAATATGTTGAGATGATAATACGTGTATGTACAAACGGGACAAAGTGATAATTAATTGCGCCTTTGAAATGCATTAAGAGTGTGTCGTCTTGTTACTATGATTTCACGATGAGGTGCTGACATCTTTTGTGAATTTGTAAGAAAAAAGTGAAAAAAAATCACTGCCACTATTTAATCTAGGCAGGAAATAGCAGAAGGTTGACAATGGGAGAAAATAAGACATTCCAGGTGTGTGAAGACTAGTTTTGTTGTGGAAGAACGAGAACAGCTATAACGATTTTAGAACAATATATATTATATAACAGTGCAGAATCTATACCAGCTCTTAACTGGACCAAGAGTTCACGACAGGCATTCACCATATAAGTATCTAAACCATCTTTACAAGTTTAAATGTGACGTATTAATTTATTCTTCAATGCTTCTTTATGTCTTGGAATAAAAGTAACTTTTACTATTTCGATAAAAAAATTTTCACAGCATTAATTCTAGCTAGTTATAGTTGACAGATATTAATGTCTCATGAGAATATGTTGTATAAAATTTAGTGTATCGTGAAAGGCATTTTTAACATAGAGGTGCACTGTATGTCCTTTTCTTGTTATCAAAATAAAGATATAAGTGTATATAATGGCTGTTGTTTGTATATCATCCGGCCTGACCGCACTGTCACAAGAGTATTTATCATCTTAGAATCGTGACATGTGTGATATGTGTTCTAATGCCTTGGATTGCTTGGAATAAATGATTAAAACACCTACAATATCAGTCAAAATTATCTCGTATATCTGATGACTGGGTTTGGCAAACGATATACCAAATATTTGTTGTAAATGTACATAAATATCTACTGTTGTACTGCTGATCCAGTGCTTGTAGTTAACTAGAATTCTGATTAAGACTCACTGTATATTGGTTTTGATAAAGGGATAGAATCTCATGGTTGTTAAACCTCTTATAAAAGAATATATGTTTGAATTATCTTACTTCAGCCAGAAAGAACTTTGACAAAATTCACTATTTCTAGTTATCGATGTTTAGTTTAACTCTTACACAAACAAAAAACAACCTTTACATGTTATATAATTCCCGAAAAAAGTGAGTACTTAAATGATACTGACGGACATTGGCAATAAGAGATTAAATAAAGGATAAAATGAACATTTATATAGATATCAAGAAAACTACAAATATACACTGTAAAGCTTTATCAAAGACAAAGAAAAATCTTAAATATAGAGTTAAAATTCGAAGAGGATTCGATATAATGGACCATCTGTCAGTTTATATCTGCTTCAAGATCGCAGTTCCAACTGACTAGAGTAAGTAGAAAATATTCATCAACGACAGTAGTCTTACATAATTTGTTCAAATAATTCCGTGATCACTAAAAAGTGGGTAAGCATATGTGGCCTCTAACGGAGTGGATGATATCAATGTCCTGACACGGTACACACTATCTACAGTGAGGTAGATGTCCTGACACAGTACACACAGTCTACAGTGAGGTAGATGTCCTGACACGGTACACACCGTCTACAGTGAGGTAGATGTCCTGACACGGTACACACTGTCTACAGTGAGGTAGATGTCCTGACACGGTACACACTATCTACAGTGAGGTAGATGTCATGACACGGTACACACAGTCTACAGTGAGGTAGATGTCCTGACACGGTACACACTATCTACAGTGAGGTAGATGTCATGACACGGTACACACTGTCTACAGTGAGGTAGATGTCATGACACGGTACACACAGTCTACAGTGAGGTAGATGTCCTGACACGGTACACACAGTCTACAGTGAGGTAGATGTCCTGACACGGTACACACTATCTACAGTGAGGTAGATGTCATGACACGGTACACACTGTCTACAGTGAGGTAGATGTCATGACACGGTACACACAGTCTACAGTGAGGTAGATGTCCTGACACGGTACACACTATCTACAGTGAGGTAGATGTCCTGACACGGTACACACTGTCTACAGTGAGGTAGATGTCATGACACGGTACACACAGTCTACAGTGAGGTAGATGTCATGACACGGTACACACTGTCTACAGTGAGGTAGATGTCATGACACGGTACACACAGTCTACAGTGAGGTAGATGTCCTGACACGGTACACACTGTCTACAGTGAGGTAGATGTCATGACACGGTACACACAGTCTACAGTGAGGTAGATGTCCTGACACGGTACATACTATCCACAGTGAGGTAGATGTCATGACACGCTACACACTGTCTACAGTGAGGTAGATGTCATGACACGGTACACACTGTCTACAGTGAGGTAGATGTCCTGACACGGTACACACTGTCTACAGTGAGGTAGATGTCATGACACGCTACACACTGTCTACAGTGAGGTAGATGTCATGACACGGTACACACTATCTACAGTGAGGTAGATGTCCTGACACGGTACACACTATCTACAGTGAGGTAGATGTCATGACACGGTACACACTGTCTACAGTGAGGTAGATGTCCTGACACGCTACACACTGTCTACAGTGAGGTAGATGTCATGACACGGTACACACTATCTACAGTGAGGTAGATGTCATGACACGGTACACACTGTCTACAGTGAGGTAGATGTCCTGACACGGTACACACTATCTACAGTGAGGTAGATGTCATGACACGGTACACACAGTCTACAGTGAGGTAGATGTCCTGACACGGTACACACTATCTACAGTGAGGTAGATGACATGACACGGTACACACTGTCTACAGTGAGGTAGATGTCATGACACGGTACACACAGTCTACAGTGAGGTAGATGTCCTGACACGGTACATACTATCCACAGTGAGGTAGATGTCATGACACGCTACACACTGTCTACAGTGAGGTAGATGTCATGACACGGTACACACTGTCTACAGTGAGGTAGATGTCCTGACACGGTACACACTGTCTACAGTGAGGTAGATGTCATGACACGGTACACACTGTCTACAGTGAGGTAGATGTCCTGACACGGTACACACTGTCTACAGTGAGGTAGATGTCATGATACGGTACACACTGTCTACAGTGAGATAGATGTCCTGACACGGTACACACTGTCTACAGTGAGGTAGATGTCATGACACGGTACACACTGTCTACAGTGAGGTAGATGTCCTGACACGGTACACACTGTCTACAGTGTTATAGATGTCCCGACACAGTACACACTATCTACAGTGAGGTATATGTCTGTTTCTATACAAGTGTGTTTCTGTTTCTAAACATGTTCATCTGCTTCTGTAAATGTTTGTCCCTGTTTCCATACAAGTATGTCTCTGTTTCTAACAAGGTTAGTGTTAATTTGTCTACACCAATTAGCTTCAAGTACTAAGGAATTAGAAATCAAACGATTCCTTTATTGATCGGCAACCGATATCTATAATACAGAAACAAAACTTGCTATGAAATGTTATCGAGAATGTTTTGAGATCTAATATATTTAATCACTTAAAACCAGTTTTACAAAGAGACGTAAAAACTCGAAGCATCTAGCACAATTTTATTCTTGGCAAATGCGTAGTGTGAAATAACGTCATCTTGCAAACCTGCATCTTAGTGAGTAAAATTGAGTTTAGAGTCAATGGTGCACAAAAACAAGTGAATATTCTACCCTCAGGTGTAAAATTAGGGATGTGTCCTTCATCTATATCCAAGAATGTTATTTCTTAACTACAAAACAACACCAAGAAAGTATATCTAACAACAATCACATATATCATTATCTCACATACACTTACCTTCAGTCATGACACTATTTCCCGCCAAATGTAGAGTATGAATTCTAGACATACTGTTGAGTTTGTAAATAGGGGAGTGGATGCTTTCACACCAGAAGTCTTTTCAGACTAAAACTCCGAAACACCTCTGTAATCTTTTTGAAAAATTACTCCAAGCCCATTGCACTCAAACTTTTCAACTACAAACAAACGCTGCAGCAACTGAATGTAGATGACCTCGGAACTAGTCCTCCGTCAGCTTGTTCTTGATCTACCTCTACTTATAACTACCAACTGGGCACATAGTAACTGGTGTTTTAATCATTATTCAAAATGTGAAGCTACGTGAAACCCCGTCCAATTATTGGAATGTGAATTTCGCGATACTTATGGATTCTGTTGAAAACTATGCCAGAGAATGGGCGAAACGAGAACATCCTGGGTTGGATTCACTTTCTGAGTTGGTTAAGTCCTTTCGATCCATCATTCGTAAAAGAATTCGCAGCTTGAAATCGAAAATGAAAACGAAACACAGATAGCTTTCTTCGATTCTGATGTTAAATCCACACTTCAATATTAACATAATAGGTATGTTATTGTACCTGCAGATATGGCGTCCAATAACTTGATCTTTGTCTGCAGACATTATTACATTTTCTGTATACTGGATCCTTAAACTTCACAAGAATCCATAAAAACGTTTTATAGCTGGCTCGTCTAACTATTCAATCAAGCCTTTGTCTAAACTACTTACCACTATTCAGGGTACTTTCAAATATGTGTTACAGTCTCATTGTGATAGTATTTAATCAAGGAGTGGAATTATTAATACGTGGATTTCAAAATCAAAGAAGAAATATAAGGACGAAATAAAAGTGGTTAACAACATCTTCGTCGAGTTTGGTGGTAAGATCTTCCAACAGACTATTGGCATACCTATGGAGACCGACTGCTCCCCTCTGTTGGCTGACTTGTTTTTGTTTTCATACGAGGCTGAATTAATTGAAGAGCTTATCAAAACATGTCATAAAAGACTTTGTAAAGTCGTTTAATTTTACTTCCAGATATATTGATGACGTCTTATCTTTAAATCAGCACAAGAAATTTATCGACTACCTCCATCATATATATCCACCAGAACTGTAAATAAAAAATACGACAGACTCCTTTATATCAGCTTCTTATCTCGATCTTTTCCTACAACGAAACCATGTGTGATAAACATGATGATTTCAATTTCCCTATTGTGAATTTTCCATTTCTGGATTGCAATATCCCTTTATGTCCAACCTGTGGTATTTACATGTCACAGTTGATACCTCCAAAACATTCACTGATCAAAGTCATATCACAGTCCAGCCGGGGATCTATGATGTAACCATACAAATACCCAATTTGCAACACCTCCGCTATATCTTAACTTCGACTTTAAACACTTCTGACGGTTAACTTTGCACGAACCTTTCCGCGACCAATGTTCAAACCTTTTTAGTTCCTTCCGTCCCGTAGAGGATAAAATCACAAAACTGTCATTTTCCAACCCGAGATATTTTAAAGAATGACAACTTCTTAGGTGATGTTGGGCGAGGGGAGCTAACTCTTCCTATAAAAATGGGGTTTTTTGGCGTATTGATATAACTGATTAGCTTGTGTTTGTATGATCAGCTGATCGTTTCTGCGATGTCCAATGTTTGTCATTTTCAGTTTGTATATTCATAAAGAAACAACAGTCAGAATGTCAATGTATATTACTATACATGAATGTATTACATATGATATCTGATGTAATGTACTATTGTCAACTTGTACCACCGAGGGAAATATCACTTTCGAATATCGGTAAATAATTGTATACAGTTGTTCAGGCTATTTTTTTCTCTGTTTTAGTCATAAAGTTCTATACAATGATATCAGTCACTTTTCTGCCCTCCAAATCATTACGTTATAAGCAGAGTTAGCATGTCACCTATGTTGAGGATTAATCTACATTTTTGTATAATCTATATATTCATGATGCTGAAAACAGGTTTTCTTTGGTAACTAAAAGTATCCTTAATCTTTGAAGCCAAGTTCTTTTATTAGTTCTAGTATCTAACCTTTAAGTAATAAAGATGTCCTATCTGATATTACGTTTTGATATTTAGGACGAATTGGTAAAGTATTGTTTGGATAAATGTACATGATGGAGTAGCATGTGTGAAGGCTGGAAACAATCACCAAATAATTATATTGAACTAATAGTGTTCCGGCATTGAAAAGCTGTGGAAGTGATGTGAATAAGTATTTTTATTACAAAATTATTAAAAAAATAAAATGATTTCTAATTATTTTCATATTTCTGACAACTGGTCTAACCAATTTGACCGGCATTTCAACAGCAAAGTATACGTACGTCACTGACTTCATCATAAGAATTAGATGCCTCGTCGATAACACTGAATGATAATGTATAAACATGTAAGTGAAAAAGTCTAATATTGAAGTTCAAAAATAAGAATGAAATATAGAATCCCTTAGAAAATCGTGTACTCTTGATTTCTGTTCAGGCGTCTACGAAAGGTATTTGTTCGTGTACAGCACCATATTAATTTTCAAGTGAACTATTTACCTAGAACATATAATTTCAAGCGAAAGGGACAGATCTAACCAGTTTGGTTACGATTTCTTGACGAAATTTTTTTTGTATATATTTTCTGTCAGATAGTGTTCCATGTTAAGATACACTCTACTGGACGGGCAGACATCATTTAGGTTTCTGTCGAATCTGGGACAGGTTTGTCTTTTTCCACACAAATATATTCTCCACATAAAGAACCTCTCCACAGACCTTCGTTGGTCATGCATGCTATGTCCCGACAGCTGGGCACACACAAACAACACGGGAAGACCACACCCAGGCCACACCAGAGACAGCATATTCCCATCATACGGGCAAGACCTTTGTCCCACGGGTAGTACCATCGCGGGTCCGCCCCGTCGTCACAACAGTGTGGCAAGCAACAGAATGCCTGCGCGTGAGTATCGCTGTCCACGTACGAAACGTCATCGCCCTCCGTTGGGATTGGTTGCTGGGTCGTCACTCTCTCGTCCATCTTGTGTCACAAATTACCTTATAGCCATATTATACGTGTAAACAACATGTACCACAGCCTTAGATCAGTCTTTATACGTTGTACAAGAGACGTATGTCTCGTATCAACCACGTTGTAAAGTTATTCTCCGTAAACCATGTTTATTTCCAGTAAAGAAGAATCAGTCACTCTCACTTTAGCTAGATACCGGTTAGTTTGTTGTGATCACGTGATCCGGACAGGTAACTCTAAAAGGTAGCACGGATAAAATATATCAGGTGATGGAAACACGGACTTAAATATGTATTTGTAGATATCTGAGTCCATAATGGAAGGATTGTAGATATGAGCCCATCGTTGGACATTTTGACATTTCAGTACAATGCGTTATAAAAATCGATAATTTTAAATTATCACAACTCATAATGTTCATTAAACAAAACAGCTGCATGCCTACAGATTATAAGACTGTTTTATGCGTGTCTATACGATACGGGATATTCCACTAGAGGGTCAGGAAATATGGTGGAATCCGAGGCTCTAACGAGGGTTTTACCACATTTTGTGATCTCAAAGATGGAATATTCCTATCCTACATACACACATAATGAAAGAGCAATTTTCTTTCATACCAACACAAACGACTGCCGTCTGTATCTTTTATGTATTAATTTATCTATATCCCAAGGTTTTTATGAACACAATCGTTCAAGATATTCCTTAAGATCATACCCACATTTTGCAAACTTGAAGTTTGTCCTGAAATTCTTTCTTCAGTATACTGCAGAATTATACGTATCGTTCACTGATAGTATATACAGTATGGGTAGGTAAACATCCGCAGAAAATATTGTCACGTTCTTCAAATCTACAAGGAACAGATTTTTTCTTACTCAACATATAAATAAGGAAATTGTATGTGTGAACTGGGTTTTCTTAGTTGATGACGAAAGTAAACACATTGTGACTTCGGATGTAAAAACTGGACGAGGAGACTGAGGATAGTGCTAGAAAGCATAAACTTTTCTTTTTCATTCAGTATCATGTGATTGTTTGGCGACTGTGTTTTTTTTGTGACTCGTGACAAATTTTGTTCGGGTACATGCTTTTTTCAGACCTTTGTATTGATCAAACTATTTGAATTAAGTATATATTGCTGTGTGCTATATTCTTACATTATCTTCATTCGAGTACCATATAGAAGTAACTGCAGGTTTAGAGAGATAAATCGTTTATTACTGGCGAAGAAGTTGAATGACATGCATACGTCTTCAAGACGATGTCCGTATTAATCAATAATCTATTTGATTTGATCTAAAAGGGTTACTGTTTAATGTACGAGAGTTATTTCTTAGTCCAGCTGTATGCAATATACCATTCTCGGACCCCATCGGCTGTCAAGCTGATCGCTATATCAACTGTACTGACAGAGTGAAAACGATGGGAAATAATTCTGGGAAATCAGAATGGCAGTAAACAAACTTTCTGATTACCAATCAAATAATAAGTTGGAACTAGACTGGAGGTTCGAATAGAACGTTTAAAAACTGAGTAAGAAACAATCTGTCTAATTAAAAGGTCAAGTTGGTTCTTAAATCGGATAAGTAGAAGGGAAAAGTTCGTTAGTCAGAAATTTGGCAAATAATAGTTTTCTTACTCTAGAGGCGATTTTGTAGAATAGCTGTAGTTTTCTTCTTGAGCGTCGTTCAGATAGTGGTTGTAAACCACTTTCGATATAAAGAGATTCACTACTGGTATACGCTGGTAAACCAGTAATGATTCGAGCGGATTCTAACTGAAGTGTTTTCCAGTTTGTCTGCGTCACTGAGAGAACACCTCTCTCAAACTTTACAACAATATTCTAGTAATGGAAAAAATTAGGCTTCATAGATTCAACATGTTTCTAAGTTTTTGAAGTATACTTACATGTGTCTGTATTGTACGCCCCTTATCGCGATAGCAGGTGACCCGATAATTGTATTATTATGAACGTATCTTGGTCTGTTAGGATTACGTTATTATACTTTTGAAAGGGTTAGATTTGACATAATATAGATACGGCCATGTAGCTGTTTGTGCAGACTGAAAACCTTGACAGACAATATAAGTTTATGAAATGGTCAGGTCCCTGTAACTTTAGTTTTTTTTCAAACGACTGGATTACTAAAGTGGTGATGAAATAAACTTGTTCCTTTCTATCGCGTCACTCTATTTCTTAAACTTTGTCCAATATAAGAAACCTTTCCGGAGTTACACGTAGCTTTATCCCTTATTTTCCCGCGAAATCTGATTGCATTCGATTTCCTCGGGCATTGCCCATATGAATATCTATCGACCAGAGGATACCCAAATAAACTTTTCTCGGGGTCTTAGGTCACGGGGTCAAGGGGAAACGAAATCTAAGACTGCACGTACCGACTGCACAAACCCTTGAATATAATGCACCATAGATATATGCGTCATAGTTGTTTGTATGCATATTCGTAGGCACATGGGAGCTGTGTCTGTGAAATATAGGACGTGTAAAAAATAACAAAAAACAACGTCATCGCATGTTTGACTGAAATCCAGCAGAATTCGGTCAGACCGAACTCCACGTCAAAGCGGTTAACTTCAACCCCTCTTCAGTGGTGTCATGGCAGAGAAGTTGGGTTTCAAATTGCAAAGCGGAAATGTGATGCCAGCGGTTGGTTTAGGAACATATGCACCGAAGCAGGTAATTACATAATTTGTAACGGTACATGTAAACAGTACACATGGCCTCGCTGACATGAGCAAAAGTCGTGATCGTGGAGCCTCGGACCGTTAGGCCAGCAGAAGTTCACTTGTCCATGCCACTGTTGAAAGATTGCAATAAAGGCGTGTTGTTGATTTTCAACAATTGATAAAACTAGTATACATTTTTTATACTTATTTCTCTTTATCAGCGAGCCTTTTATGAAAGTGAGCGAACCTGATAAATGGTGATAAGAGGCCTATTTGGGATGTAAAAAACGGGCGAGAAAGTACCATGCAGAATGTCATGGCTACAACATTACAGCAGAGGACACGGATAATATGTGTTTGTTACATATAGATTTTAATGGTTTGGGAGAGGGATACAATTACAGAAAAAATTAGGGTCCTCAGTCGTATAATTAGTATATAATAGTAAAGGAACAAAAACTTGTCTTGTCGAAAATCTGAACTTGCAATGATTATATCTTAGTCCATGGAAAGATGAATTATTTTTTTTAACTCGTAAGTCCATTATTGTGATTTTTGAGATTCTTTATGTGGCAGTGGTCTTGACATTGTCGACAAAACAGAGAAGTATGGAATGAAAGGGAAATTTATTTCTTCAATAATATAAGTGAATACCTGAATTAGTTTAAGAATATTCCCATCATCGTATCAGAGACGTATGTATCACGTATATGTGTTATATAACGTCTCTGATCGTATCTAGCGATTTAGTAAATACTTAATCTTCATCATTAAATAAACAAGGCCTAAAAACTGCAGTGTTTCCATAATGAGCCCCAACCCATAACCCTACATTTTTTTCGGCACAGAAGCCATGTTACATGTGTTAAATTAATTAAATAAGTTGTCGGCATAGAATTTGAAACAAAACAGCAAGAATCAAAACTGAATGAAAAAATAAATTCTTGAAGTAAAATGACAAAAGCTGCTGAAGAAACCAAATAAGTTGTATAAGTGGAGGGAATTTAACTGACTTACTCAATGTGTTTCATTATGTTATGGAAAGGAATTCGAACGACTTACTCAATGTGTTTCATTATGTAAGGTAAGCTCTTGATTGTGATCTTTTAACTGTAGACCTAATGATCTCTCAACACTAATTAGAATGATTGGTGTCTTTAATTCATTTACCAATACCATTTACTTACATGTAGGTTAATGATTCATGTAAAAGGTACATTGTTGTCATTTCAACATTACAATGACGTCACAATGTTTACAGTGTCTGAGGAGTTTTGCATCAGCTGACATGTTAGTGATATATTTAGTTTGATTTTCATCGCATTTGCTTGTGTAATTATATCATAATTGATTGAATGTTGAATAAGATCAATAAATAATCAAGGTACATGAAATACGGATATAAGCCGACAACTTTCTCATTGTCAATTGCTGTTGTGATCAGTTGTCATGACAACAATGAGGATGATCATTTCTATTGTTCAAAAATCCTACCACAGCTAAATATAACCAAAAGCATGCAACACAATATTTCAGGTCTGTGTAAGATATGTACAAAATAATGAAAAATGAAAATAATATTCTGTCTACTTTATCAATATCAATATTGATTTTGTACTTTTGTCGTCTTCAGTGGTCTTGTGGTGTTTAAAACACTGAATATAGTTCCAATTGTAACAGATGAACATTATAACAGTTGCTCTAGAAGTCAACCTAGTTCACGCCATTATCCAAAAGTATTCAAAACATATATAATTGGAATGATAATGGATTAGAGAAAGTAAGAAATGCTGTAGATTGTTTAAAAATGGGTAAGTTTTTCTTCAAATTGACAATTAGAATATTACCTAGGGGGCATTACTGCATCTTATTTACACTGAAATCTGGACATATATATAAAAAAATCAGAAGAATGTGAAGTATTTCTCATTTGTTTTGTTTGATGTTATGCACAGTTGTTTTTTGTTAACAAATATTGATAATATGGGGATGCACTTGCAAGATTTTGTGACTGTGTTAATGCAGTCACATGTGACAATCACATGGTTAACTGGTTATGTACATGTGTTGTGATAACATTATAACAGCAAAACTACAAAAGTAATCATTGAAACGAAAGTCGTTTTCCAAATATATATCTTTTGAAGTTAAAAAGCAACATTAGCCTTACAGACATGTATTATAGATCAGGAGGGTACATTGTATATTTGTCACATGGAAAGAATTAATGGTCTGTACCTCCGATATTTTGATAATTAAGTCACCAACTGGAGTTAAATTCAACAAACTACAGTAAGATCGATCTTACTTTGGTAGATTGTACTGTAATGAAACCACAAATTATACTGCATATGTCTAGAAGACTATCTATTTAAACTCACAATTTCACTTTCATAAGACTGGAACATCCAGACACCATCTGTGCATGCAGTACTATCACTTTGAAGCAGACAGTGGTTGGATGGTGTTTATTGCCATATTGTCCCCTTTAAATAGAACTGCATGTTGTCCCCTATTGCTGGAACAGTATATTGTCACCTTTAGATAGAACAGCATATCGTCCCCTGTAGATGGAACAGCATATCGTCTTCTTTAGATAGAACAGCATATTGTCCCCTATTGCTGGAACAGTATATTGCAGCCTTAAGATAGAACAGCATATCGTCCCCTGTAGATAGAACAGCATGTCATCACCTTTAGATAGAACAACATGTCATCGCCTTTAGATAGAACAGCATGTCATCACCTTTAGTTAGAACAGCATATCATCGCCTTTAGATGGAACAGCATGTCATCTCCTTTAGATGGAACAGCATGTCATCTCCTTTAGATAGAACAGCATGTCATCTTCTTTAGATGGAACAGCATGTCATCGCCTTTAGATAGAACAACATGTCATCTCCTTTAGATAGAACAGCATATCGTCCCCTTTAGATAACAACATTTCATCACATTTAGATGGAACAACATGTCATCTCCTTTAGAAAGAACAGCATGTCATTGCCTTTAGATAGAACAACATGTCATCGCCTTTAGATAGAACAACATGTCATCTCCTTTAGATAGAACAGCATGTCATCTCCTTTAGATGGAACAGCATGTCATCTCCTTTAGATAGAACGACATGTCATTGCCTTTAGATAGAACAGCATGTCATTGCCTTTAGATAGAACAGCATGTCATCTCCTTTAGATAGAACAGCATGTCATCTCCTTTAGATAGAACAGCATGTCATCTCCTTTAGATGGAACAGCATGTCATCTCCTTTAGATGGAACAGCATGTCATCGCCTTTAGATAGAACAGCATGTCATCTCCTTTAGATGGAACAGCATGTCATCTCCTTTAGATGGAACAGCATGTCATCTCCTTTAGATGGAACAGCATGTCATCTCCTTTAGATAGAACAGCATGTCATCGCCTTTAGATAGAACAGCATGTCATCTCCTTTAGATGGAACAGCATGTCATCTCCTTTAGATAGAACAACATGTCATTGCCTTTAGATAGAACAGCATATCGTCCCCTTTAGATAACAGCATGTCATCTCCTTTAGATAGAACAGCATGTCATCGCCTTTAGATAGAACAGCATGTCATCTCCTTTAGATGGAACAGCATGTCATTGCCTTTAGATAGAACAGCATGTCATCGCCTTTAGATGGAACAGCATGTCATCTCCTTTAGATAGAACAACATGTCATTGCCTTTAGATAGAACAGCATATCGTCCCCTTTAGATGGAACAGCATGTCATCTCCTTTAGATAGAACAACATGTCATTGCCTTTAGATAGAACAGCATATCGTCCCCTTTAGATAACAGCATGTCATCTCCTTTAGATAGAACAGCATGTCATCGCCTTTAGATAGAACAGCATGTCATCTCCTTTAGATGGAACAGCATGTCATTGCCTTTAGATAGAACAGCATGTCATCTCCTTTAGATAGAACAACATGTCATCGCCTTTAGATAGAACAACATACAGATCAATGGTTGATCAGTGATTTTTGACACATATATTAGAGTCTCAGACTTGTGCTTTTCCTTTGGGATTATTCCAATTTGAGAAGCCACTCAATCTCATTAAAATTTTTCAATTTTTGAAACTTGTGTGATATCATTTACTCCATTCTTTGATATTTTTAATGAATCTCTTTTAGATGGGGTATAGTGACATCTGTTGCCATGAAAAAAACAGCACAAAGCATTACGTTATCTTGTGTTTTAACCTAGACAGTATCTCCTTGGGGATTTGGTAAACAAGCTACATTCATGTAAAAAAGACTTAGAAAAAACGGAAACATATGATGTGCGAATTAGCATGTGGTGCATTACGCCACTGGAATAAGTAAGGCATATGCATGGCACATAGTGTGCTTGTTTACACCTGATTATACACATTGGTTTGTATACACTATAATATGACAATACATTGTCATGAATATGTAAATTTCTTTAAGTTATTATCATAAACTGTAAGCAAATTGGTGAAATGTATATCCAGGATGTCAACAAGTGGTTATCAGTTGAGAAAATATTTGAATAATTAAAATTATATCTGTGTATAGATTAAACAAATTATAGCTGTAAGTGTTTGTAGAATTAATGGAACATCAACAAATATATATGTTGGTAATTTTAGGTGACCTAGATATGTAAATGATATGTAGGTCAGGGTATGATTATAAATTTTATATCTACCTAGTTAACACAAGTAGTATTTAGTATTAGTAGTTTACATACTCAATTTATCTGTTGAATGAGTAGCATGATTTAAAATTTTAGCAGAAATTGAGAATGATGAATTAGCACATCAACATCCTGTTCTATTTTATATATAAGCCAGGAAATACCAAAATATTCCAACTGCTACTACATTGTTAAATTTATCGTTCAATACTAAAAAGTTTAAAGATTATCAATAAGATAACATAACCTATAAAATGATATTACCTACAAATAAAAATATACCACCATTTAAATAAGATTACCACAAAAATAAAATTATCATGCAATAAAGTAATGACACCATGAAACGCTTCAAATCAATTATATTTTCTTACATTTAGTGTTAGCTACATTGTAACTTTGGTTGAATCAATACCTGATCAGATTCATCAATGTTTCTACCCAAATATACCACTGTGTATAAATAACACAAAATATAGCAGATTGTCTTAATTTCTTTCCACTTTTTGGATAGTTACACCTCCTTCCCTTATCGGGGTTTTTGCCCCTGGGCAACTGTGACCTCTCAATTAATTCCAATCACCTTACATTTATAATCACTTGGCTATGATGTACCTGCTGATAAAACTTATATACTTCTGATAGGTTGCACTGAAGAAATTCATGTCACATTGTCACTTGTTTGGATAAATACTTTTGAAGAGTAAAAAAATCTCATTATTTTACATGGGCTTCAACTAACATTTAAGTTCCCAGGAATTTTTCATGGGAAGTTGAATGTTTAATTCAAAAGCCCTTTTATTCTCTTAACCTTGATTTTTTTTTATAATCAGACACTACATAGTTACATTATTTTTAATGTTTGTACAGGGAGAAGATGAGGTGATTACTGCTGTTAAAATCGGTGTGCGTGCTGGGTACCGCCACCTTGACTGTGCTGCCATCTACAGGAATGAGCGTGCAGTGGGTCATGCTATCAAGGAGTTGATTATAGAGGACACAATAAAGAGGGAGGACTTGTTTGTCACCAGCAAGGTTATTTCTCACTCGGATTTATACATATATCAAAGTGGTTTCATCAGGTTACAACTTCCTATTGTTGATGCATAAGATTGGTGAACTGAAATGATTTATTAAGTATATCTAATGTTTCTTTGATCATAAGTTCAGTAAATCATGGATTCAGATTCCGTGGTGTTAATATTCCTGTCTGCTTGCAACTTGTAGCTATATGAAATAAACTTAAATGGTTTCATAATCTTAGCCAAAGATATAACAAGTGAATATGTGCCTATTAAAGTAGGAACAAAGGATTTTTTTAACAATTGTAGAGAACAGTCATCATGGCCATCATGATGAGTTTTTGAGAAATAATTTGTGAAGAAAGAATCAATTTTCATGTTTCTGATAATGCTTTGTTTACATGGTATATAGACATAACACGATTATTTCAGTTTTAAGGTATGTATTACATACAGAGTTGTTTCTGTTGGTAGTTATGGAATACCTGTCACCGACCTGACCTTGTGCGTTCTAGTTTAAAGAAGAGTTTGTATGACCTTGGTCTGACCTACCTGGACCTTTACCTCATTCACTGGCCAATGGGTCTACAGGTACTGTCAGTGTTTTATTAGTTAATAGGTCCTCATTATTCAAGTTGAAATGAAGTATGAGTTATTATTTTGACTACAATCTAACTTACAATCAAATTCTGGTCATATTTGATTCAGTTGTTAAGCCTTGGCAGAATCATTTTAGCATAGGAATTCTGCTGATACTTCATTGTTAGGGCTATGCCCTTGTAATAATCCTGAGGGGGTGTGGTTGTGTTTTTAGTGCTATCTTCTGACTGGCCAAGAAATTTGTGTTTCAATCTTGTTTCCTGTTTCCTGTAAGCAACCCTGGTAAATACTAGTCGCAAATTACAACTCGGCTAGAGAGAACTTCTCTTGGTACGATCGTTTGAACTTCGAACTATTAAGTCAGGGGTCCTAGGTTTGAGTCGTAGTGGAGGCATTAAAATAACTGAATGACCTCTGTTACATAAATATGTGTAATGTAATTCTAACGACTTCTGTTACATAAACATGTGTAACGTAATTCTAACGACTTCTGTTACATAAACATTTGTAACGTAATTCTAACGACTTCTGTTATATAAACATGTATTATGTATTTTTTTTGTCATGATGTGTAATACCTGTTCTAGTGGAGCAGCATGTAATTAGCAGAAGTTTCCGTGTGAACATCATTGTTGTCATCGCTTCATGATTTTAACAATGAAAATAGAAGTGCCAGTATAGGGTGAAAATATCGTCATGTTAGATTTTGCAGTCCAGTAAAATACAGTTTTCGCAATTGTTGCAAAAACTATTTAGTTTGTAAGCTACGGGACAAACAGAACCTAACTTTGTTTCCATTTGATATTAATGAAACCTGTCACAAATTTTTAGACTTGTTTTTAAAAACTTGATAAAACAATTGTAACTGTATGTAAGAAAAGTGATAAAGAAAAAAGTCTGGTTTGATAAAGGTAATCTGATATAATGTCTTCTTATTGAAAACTAAACTCTCAAAGCAGAAAAACATAATTATCTGATTTTGATTGGTTATTATAGGAAGGTGGTGAATTTATACCAAAGGATGAAGATGGTACAGTGTTATTCTCAGATGTCGACTTTGTGGAGACATGGAAGGTAGGAAAAGATTTATTTAAAGAACTTAACACTTTGTCACATTTGATCTTGGTATTATGCTTAAGCCCTTCTGCGAAAAACTTCCATTCTGTTTAGAAAGATTTATGACACATTATGATTAAGAATACATGAGAAAACATGAGTACATATAAATCTATATAGGTTAACATATCTGTATATATATGTGTTATGACTTATATGTCTACCATCATGAGATGGAGGACTTTTCAAATTGCCCATCTGTGGTGAGTCATCTGTCCATCCATTCTTGAACAATTCTTGTTATCACATTTTCTTGAGAAATAATAGATGGATCATGTTCAGATTTCATTTGTTGGTTCCCCTTGGTCTCTTAAGGTGAAATGATTGCTTTTAGGACTGGTTAAAAAAACAAAATGACAGACAGACACCGTCCTGGTTTTTGACAGTCATAGTTTGTTAACTTATTACAACACAGAGTGGATCTTCTCCGATTTCATATGTGGTTCCCCTTGGTGCATTTTGATTTTGGACTGATTAAAAAACAAAATACATATAGGTGGTCACATTTTAAGATGATCATCTCACTTCAAATTTCATATACACTATAACTAAGAGGGGAAAAAAGCAGAAGAAAGAATATCCAAGTGAGCGATATAAGAATCTTTTGATTTACGGGCAGGCAATATTACTTTATTTCAATTTATTTATCTAAAGGGTTTTACGTCCACTATATTGGCCTCTCCTCATTTCAGCTGAGAAGTATAGTTGTAAATGAAAGGAAAGATAAAAATGGATGAATCAGTTACATAGTGATATAGGATAGATGCCAGGCTACATAATATAAACCAACTAAAGCCCTCATAATTAACATTATTAAGTATTCTGATGTTTTGTTTTCCACGGTGATCACAACACTAAGTCTAAGCTACCCTGTATGTCTTTGGTGTCAGTTATTATCCAGGCTTCAGATAGTCTCATACCAAAGATAATGGGATGTAGATGTTGAGATAATTCCTTACTTACATTATTAATGTATGATTTGATTGGTTACCAGGCTATGATATTTATTGATGCTTAATTGAATTGGTTGGTAGGCTTTGGAAGATTGTGTAGATGAGGGCCTTGTCAAAGACATTGGTTTATCAAACTTCAACAGTCAGCAGATATCACAGATATTGGACATTGCCCACATACCACCCAGTAACAATCAGGTGAGTTACTCAGATACCACCCAGTAACAATCAGGTGAGTTACTCAGATACCACCCAGTAACAATCAGGTGAGTTACTCAGATACTACCCTGTAACAATTAGGTGAGTTACTCAGATACCACCCAGTAACAATCAGGTGAGTTACTCAGATACCACCCAGTAACAATCAGGTGAGTTACTCAGATACCACCCAGTAACAATCAGATGAGTTACTCAGATACTGCCCAGTAACAACCAGGTGAGTTACTCAGATACCACGCAGTAACAACCAGGTGAGTTACTCAGAAACCACCCAGTAACAATCAGTTGAGTTACTCAGATACCACCCAGTAACAATCAGGTGAGTTACTCAGATACCACCTAGTAACAATCAGGTGAGTTAATCAGATACCACCTAGTAACAACCAGGTGAGTTACTCAGATACCACCCAGTAACACAATTCGTAGTGTACCAATGTCAAAACCAGCAATCTTGTAGAACCCTTTGTTAAAATTTTGTGTCTGGAGCATAGCTGTATTTTGAATTGAAGCTTATGAAACATGTAACTTATTATTATGGTAAGTACGTTACATTTATTTGGAATCAGTTTCAAAGCACATAACCTTTGAACTTTTGATTATCTTTCACAAAATTTACTATAGCAGAATACTCAAAAACATACATACTAATAACTATCAGTGCTTATAGTGTTATGGACATTAAGTATTAAAATGAATGCAACATGCCCTTACTTTTCATAGCATAAGCATAAATATGTGTCAGATATAGACAATGTATGTTCACACAGTGTTTTGTCTCTTCTAAACTTCCTGTTTAAACATTTACAGATACATGTATGTGTCATTGATGCGATAAAATACAGATCTCATAGATTTCAAAGACCTCTAATAATGATGTTTTTAGGAGCATTTATCAGTTTTACTGATACTCTTTCTTTAATCATGACAAGTTATCAATTTTTTTTGCCCCTGTTATCTCTCCTTGTTATGGAGATCTCATTGAGCCCCATTGGAATCCCTGTTCATATGTCTCGGGACTTGATATGACTTGATCTTAACTCTCAACAAAAATCAACTGAAAGTTATCAAAGTTTTCACCTCTGAGTACATACATGTACGAATATATGGGTTAGATTTTATAGTAAATATTTATGTTTCTTTGTTTTAAAGATATTATGTAATTTCCTCAAAATATTTTGACTATGGACTCTTTGAGAAAAGTTTTGAATTGTTATGTTTGACCTTTTAATTACAAGCATATCATTAATTTGCCAGTCCTTAAACAAAGGAACAATTTGATTGGTTCATAAAGATGACCTTTACAAACAAAAAAATAGTAACTAAAATGGCTCTTCCATCACGTCTGTCAGATCTCCATGGAAAAAAGTATGTGGAGAAATGAGAGATTAGATTTTAATGTGATTTCAACCAAAAATATTGAAAAGTTGGATATGATATTATTTTGCAAATGATTTCTTTTCAGATTGAAATCCATCTTCACCTAGCTAATTCCAAACTCATCCAGTTCTGTCAGGAAAAGGGTATTTCTGTGACCGCCTACTCACCTCTTGGAAGTCCAGGCAATAAAACGTAACTATTTTGAGAATATCGCTTAAAATTGTGGGCCATTTAGCAGTTCATGAAGAGGTCAGTGTCATGCAAATGACAACTCAAATTATCTGAAATTCACTGAACCAATGCCACCTGATAGCAGATTTGGCTGTTGATATGGGTATGCCTTCATGCAGTTACATATTTAAACGATTTCAAGGTTTAGATGTGGAAGACTCGGCTTAAGTCAAGAAAAGTTTAATTCCTTTTTCTCAGGTAGATGACAGAAATTCAATGCATGATTTTATTGACAATCAGATTAAAACACATCTGACAGAATGGAATAGTTACATATATTTTTATTAGTTAAACATTTAAACTAATGGGCCTATTTTGTCCTATTCTGACCTGAAATTGTGATATTTAAGTTGACTCTTTCAGTGCCTACCAGAGGTATGTACCTTGTATACACCCATCTTTCTGCTGTATCCCCATACCTGGACACCCAATTTATCTTGCTCAGATTTATAGTAGAGCTAGATTTCTCATTCCCTACAATACTGATGTGTTTATTTCATTCAAAAGTCTAGAATGATACAAGCAGGATTGAAATCATATGTCAAGAGGTGATTGTACTTCAAAGTCATGTTAACAAAAATTTCAGGTAAGGGCATAATTTCAGAAGAATGTCAATTGCATGAATATTTTCTGAGCTATGCCAATCTTCTAATGAATTAAAATGAGGCATGAACACTATTTCAAACAGCGGTGACTAAAAACCTACTATTAGTGTGGACGGCCAGCAGTCTTGGTTGTGCATAAAACACAAGTTATTTCTGTGGCACAAAATGAATGTGAGACTAAAACAATTAGTAAATTGGACATAATTATGGTAAGGTCAATATATGTAAAATCAAAGGTTGTCATATAATAAAAAGTCAGTTTGTGATAAAAGGTCATTCTACTCTCAAAGGTTAATGTTAGATCAAAGGTCAATATATGATCAGAAGTCAGTGTATAAATAATGTAAGGTCAAAGGTCATTGTGTGATAAATGTCATTATATTGCGGAGGTCAATATGAAAAGAAAGATGCTGGTTGACACCATCGAGAAGTAAGATACTAAATTGTGATGGGATCGTAGGAAGCACAAGGGATCAGGACTTAGATATGTAGATATGTATGTAGATGTTTGTAAGAGGAAGAAAACCCATCCATGCTCTCTCTTCACCTGCTTATGTTTGTGCAGTAAATGGATGACAATTTGCTACATTTGTTAACACATTTACTGATGTATAATGACATGGGCATCCTTGAAGTCTGTTGTAAAATTTTGATTTTAGCATAAAAATAGAGTCAAAACATAATTTTGATGTCATGCTTAAACAGATTTTTAAAAATGTTGTGGAGAGCCATGCACTGCTATGTACCATTCTAATCCTCAAAATGTTACAGTCCTCTCATATCATCAAGATTATGTTTGTGTCTAAATGTGATAAAAACAGCTTTAGGTAGTCTTGATAATCTTACACTACTTTCTTGGTGACATTAACTCAAACTTGACAAAATAACCAGTCAGAGAAGATCCATTAAACTATTGTTAATACATTACATGTATATAGATATGGTGATTGTTGGCATCGTAGGGTATGGTAAAACCATTGTCAACATAAAATTAATCAGAAACTCGCTTTCTAATAAGTATATGTATGTAGTACATCTATGTATACAAGGTTTCTGGAGGATATTTATAGTATACAGAGCCCTACACCTTTTACATCAACATTAAATCCAGGAGAGCTTACATTGTTGTCAACATTAAATCCAGGAGAGCTTACATTATTGTCAATATTAAATCCAGGAGAGCTTACATTGTTTTCAACATTAAATCCAGGAGAGCTTACATTGTCATCAACATGAAATCCAAGAGAGCTAACATTGTTGTCGACATAAATCCAGGAGAGCTTACATTGTTGTCGACATAAATCCAGGAGAGCTAACATTGCCATTGACATAAAATCCAGAGGAGATGAGTCATTCTCATAAACTTAGAACCCAAGATAACTTGCATTCTCATTGACATAAAATCAAGTAGAGAAAAATCTCCAATAGGATCCAAGAACCACTTTCCAATATTTGTGTTTGTAGTTCATCTGTATTGTACTAGGTTTTAGGTAATTTTACAAAATGTACGCTATACAGAGCTCTCTTAATATAAGTGAATATGCAGGTAAAGCTTGGAGGATTATCTTCCCCTGGCTGAAAGGTTGGTTATATTTATGTTGTGATATAGGAGTTGTCCATATCTAATTATTGTAATATTGTGTCATTATCCTGAAAAAGTTCCTTTCACAGTGTACCTAACAAATTGCCAAATAGTTTTACAAATAATTGTTATGGAATTATTCCTGTTGACAAAAGGAATGAATTTCTGATAAGAGAGAGAGAGTGAGATAAAAGAAAAAAAGATTTGCTTTACTCTTGATGGGCAAAAAGTATAAAGAATTTAGAAGATAGTTCGTTGAAAATGAGACAGATTTCTCCTGAATAAAAATTTTTAATAACTTGAAAATAGAGATAATAGGTTAAAGGTGGACAAACATATTGAATAATGGGGTAATTCTTTTTAAAACCACTGAGTACATGATATATTTAATTGAATCCGTATTGTCTAAATTTGGTTTTGCTGTAAATCAGAGATATGCTTTTATCTCCTTAAATGCCACAGAAGCAGGGTCCAACCAGGATAAATCTGTCACTAAGACTACCTCTTAAAGCAGAAAAACTCCTGACAGATTTCAACCAGAACAATTGGTATCATGCACCCTTAATTCATGTTTAAAAAGAATGATGATACTGAAGCGTTGATATTGGCTATTAAGATGATATAAATAGCAAATGACAGGGGAGGTAACTCATCAGATATTTGCTGAATGGAGTCAGTCACCAGAGTGGCACAAGGTGACACAAGGTAGAGTAGGGTGACCCAATGTGGTGAAGGGCGGCAGGGATGGATCATGTTGGCCCAAGTTAGGGTAGAATGGCTCAGAGTAGCACAAGGTCGTGACAAAGGTATTGAGAAGACAATATAAACTCATTAAGACCAAGTTTACAAATATCTTACAACTTTATTGATAAAGCACTAACATTTGATAAAAGCATCTCGTGGTTTGTGATTAATTTGACGAGCTGATAAAGGAAGATAATCATAAAGTGATGACCATCAACTTAATGACCTGTCTGTAAGAGACGTACGGCTTGGTCTTTCCTACCAACTTAGCGGTATGGCTTGGTCTTGCTGTACTTAATTTGCATGAGTATTATTTTTTCTACAAGGACCTCTTTTGATTCTCAGGTCATTTGTTTTGTCTGATAGATGTTTCACTGACTAAGATTACTTTATCTGATTACATTAATTAACACATATTTGTATAATTCACACAAGGCAGGCATGAAGGATAGAGGAATTTTCAAGTAATGCATAGAAGTGGGTGATATGAAATTATAATGAAAATAACATAGAAAGAAGTATAACTTTAAACAGAAATAGTAAAGCAAGGTTGGAAATTGATAAAACATACACAATATGAGGTTATAAGGAAAAAGACAAAGTTGTGATATTAAGTGTAGTAGTAACAAAACTGAAATACAATGTAGCTTTGAAAAAAAAATAGTTCACAGTTATTGGAAATCCTAAAGGATCCTAAATTTATGCAGGTAAAAGAACAAGAAATAAACTGACTATACATTTTGTAGTTGTAGAAACATACGGTGTGGATCAAATATTTAAAAAAAAATTACACCAAAAAAAGGAAAAATAAACAACACATTTTACCTTTCAATTGTAGTGTTCACTTCACTCAGTCACTCCAAGAACCAGTAGTACTGGATATAGCACAGAAGAAAGGCAAAACTCCAGCACAGGTATGTATGTAAAAACTAGAAGAACTCAATATAGCAAAACTCCAGCACAGGTATGTATGTAAAAACTAGAAGTACTCAATATTGCAAAACTCCAGCACAGGTATGTATGTAAAAACTAGAAGTACTCAATATAGCAAAACTCCAGCACAGGTATGTATGTAAAAACTAGACGTACTCAATATTGCAAAACTCCAGCACAGGTATGTATGTAAAAACTAGACGTACTCAATATCGCAAAACTCCAGCACAGGTATGTATGTAAAAACTAGAAGAACTCAATATAGCAAAACTCCAGCACAGGTATGTATGTAAAAACTAGACGTACTCAATATCGCAAAACTCCAGCACAGGTATGTATGTAAAAACTAGAAAAACTCAATATAGCAAAACTCCAGCACAGGTATGTATGATTGTTTTTATGGTAAATTGAGATGTCCAGTTGTGCAGAATATTCTTTTAATCGGCCCAAAAACAAATTAACAGCACATGAAAATTCTGCTAATCAAAACTTTTTGAAAAGTTTTTTTAGCCTATGATGATGATCATATTAGATGTAAGGATTTTGAAATCACCAATATCTCCATGGATATAATGGGCTACCAGTTCTGAAACCAATTTTGTTATTGTTTTTTCTTGAGAAGTGTTGGCAGGATCATTCTCAAATTTCAAATGTATTTTCTACAAGTAAAGATTGCTAACAATATAATGTCCTGAGAAATGTACATTCAATTTGGATATTTTTGGACTTAATTTGAAAAGCAAACTGGCTGATAGGCATCCATTCAACATTTTTACAATTATAGATTTTTTCCTTACTATATCTTGTGAAATGCTAAGTGTATCACTCTGAAGTTTCATATGTAGGAAACGTAGCCGTGCATTATATATTTTGTGACCAATAAGAAAAATTGATTGGTATACAGTATTTCGTAGTTTATTGAATATTATCATATGCATAATTCACCTGTCATTGTAAATACAAATATTCAAAAAGAAGAGAAAAGGACAGGAAAGAACTAGTAGGGAAGTAATAAAAATGTATGATAACATGATGGATGTAAAAATTCTTGTACCTGTAAATGTAAAAAAAATCACAAACTTAATGATATAATTAACAGTATTTATTTTCTCTTTTTCAAATAAGAAAGAAATATTTCAACTTGAAAATCAACTCGGGATTGAGTAAAAGTAAATCATTTTGGATAGGATAGCAATATAATGAAAAGAAGATGTTTTCCATAGAGATGTTGTACCAGTGACCTTAGACTTAACATAAAGATGCTGAACCCCTGAGCTGATGAAATGTCTCTCACAACAGGTAGTGAGATGACTTTGTCACTGATATCATGCAGCCTTTACAATATTACCTTTCAGATCATACTTCGTTTCCTGCTTCAGAAGAAAACATGTGTAATTCCTAAAAGTGTTTCACCTTCCCGGGTTATTGAGAACTTTCAGGTAAGTAAAAAAAGTCTATAAGATGCTCTCACATGTTACAATAGGTCCACTTATCTCTTTCAACCATATTACCAGATAGAAACCCATCAGCTGATTTAGTACATACCAGGTACACAACAATATCATAAGATCCAATGAGTGAGAAAATATACAGGTTTGTTATGAACCTATTAGCAGGTTTAATTTGTTTATGAATCTCTGTGTGCATATATAGAAACAGCAAGTGTTCATTTTGTATTTTGCATTTTGCAGTGGTCACCTGTTAAATTTGAAATATCAAAAGATAATTTCATAATAGTATATTTAGAATTTGTAAAAGGTGATAACAGGAAATCATATTATGTCATAATCTGTTTTGGATGACTGTACTAGTTCCCACTTATTTTTATTGAAACATTTTTCACCTGACAGAAGGATGAATTTCAAATTGCATTAATCCCATCCTTTTAAAATTTTCTGATAAATACCACCTCCTTACTCCCAATGCAATTCATTTCCATCAGTACTACCTAATCTCATTTCCATCAATAGTACCTAATCTCATTTCCATCAATAGTACCTAATCTCATTTCTATTAATACTACCTAATCTCATTTCCATCAGTACTACCCAATCTGTTAACCGTTACTTCCCAGAGTCAGAATGATTAATTTCTTGTAAAAAAATCTGTCCCCTAATGCTACTTTAAGGTTGAGTGATTAACACTATGAGACAAGCTTTTGTACCAGAGATGTGCTTTTGTTATGACTTATCTCACTTTTCTATTTATAACATGCAAATCCCTTGTCATTTTTTATTTACAGATATTTGACTTTGAATTAGGTTCTGATGAAGTGAACAAGCTAGAATCCCTCAATAAGAACTACAGATTAAATCTAGAGACCCAGTAAGTATAAACATTTTATCATATTTCTCTGAAAATGTTAAGTGTGCAGTCACATAACTATCCTGTCCGCAATGTTGACAAGAACATGGGATTGTGTTTTAACTTATTCTAATATAGATGCTTTCTAGATGTCATACCATTTTAGAAATTAAATTCTTTGTAAGATTTTGGGAAGACAGTGTGCCACCTATAAGAAACAAGAATTAGGTCCCTATGAAGAATGTATTGACCCTTCAAATCCAAGAGAAACTAATGTTCCAGCAAGTCCTGATACTACTTCACAGTTTCTGATCTAGGCATCTGACATGTATAGTTAAAGAATTATTTTTGGGGTCTGGCAAAGTATATTGAAATTACTCGTCCAAAAAAATGAAAAAGAAAAAGATTAAATCAAAATTGATTTGTCGCGGATTTTTCTGTCACTGCAACATTATTCTTCGTTGTACAACACTTAATAGACAACTTTGGTACATGTAAATACAGTCTATGTAGAATTCTGGGGACATACAATGTAGTTTGTGTTTCTCTGTACATTACAAAAATATGTAAATAAAGATTGTACAAATGGGACAGAAATGAATAGCACTATTGAATACAAATATAGAATTAGGCAATGTGCAGCCAAATAATTAACTAACCTGCATCATACAGCTGTTTGTCGTTCTAGGACTCATCAGTGATGTTACATCATACAGCTGTTTGTCCTTCTTGGACTCATCAGTGATGTTACATCATACAGCTGTTTGTCGTTCTAGGACTCATCAGTGATGTTACATCATACAGCTGTTTGTCCTTCTTGGACTCATCAGTGATGTTACATCATACAGCTGTTTGTCCTTCTTGGACTCATCAGTGATGTTACATCATACAGCTGTTTGTCCTTCTAGGACTTATCAGTGATGTAACATCATACAGCTGTTTGTCGTTCTAGGACTCATCAGTGATGTTACATCATACAGCTGTTTGTCCTCCTTGGACTCATCAGTGATGTTACATCATACAGCTGTTTGGTCCTTCTAGGACTCATCAGTGATGTTACATCATACAGCTGTTTGTCCTTCTTGGACTCATCAGTGATGTTACATCATACAGCTGTTTGGTCCTTCTAGGACTCATCAGTGATGTTACATCATACAGCTGTTTGTCCTCCTTGGACTCATCAGTGATGTTACATCATACAGCTGTTTGGTCCTTCTAGGACTCATCAGTGATGTTACATCATACAGCTGTTGGTCCTTCTAGGAGTCCTTCTAGGACTCATCAGTGATGTTACATCATACAGCTGTTTGTCCTTCTTGGACTCATCAGTGATGTTACATCATACAGCTGTTTGTCCTTCTTGGACTCATCAGTGATGTTACATCATACAGCTGTTTGTCCTTGGACTCATCAGTGATGTTACATCATACAGCTGTTTGTCCTTCTTGGACTCATCAGTGATGTTACATCATACAGCTGTTTGTCCTTCTAGGACTCATCAGTGATGTAACATCATACAGCTGTTTGTCCTTCATGGACTCATCAGTGACGTTACATCATACAGCTGTTTGTCCTTCTTGGACTCATCAGTGATGTTACATCATACAGCTGTTTGTCCTCCTTGGACTCATCAGTGATGTAACATCATACAGCTGTTTGTCCTTCTTGGACTCATCAGTGATGTTACATCATACAGCTGTTTGGTCCTTCTTGGACTCATCAGTTTTGCTACATCATACAGCTGTTTGTCCTTCTTGGACTCATCAGTTTTGCTACATCATACAGCTGTTTGTCCTTCTTGGACTCATCAGTGATGTTACATCATACAGCTGTTTGTCCTCCTTGGACTCATCAGTGATGTTACATCATACAGCTGTTTGGTCCTTCTAGGACTCATCAGTGATGTTACATCATACAGCTGTTTGTCCTGCTTGGACTCATCAGTGATGTTACATCATACAGCTGTTTGTCCTTCTTGGACTCATCAGTAATGTTACATCATACAGCTGTTTGTCCTTGGACTCATCAGTGATGTTACATCATACAGCTGTTTGTCCTTCTTGGACTCATCAGTGATGCTACATCATACAGCTGTTTGTCCTTCTAGGACTCATCAGTGATGTAACATCATACAGCTGTTTGGTCCTTCTTGGACTCATCAGTGATGTTACATCATACAGCTGTTTGTCCTCCTTGGACTCATCAGTGATGTTACATTATACAGCTGTTTGGTCCTTCTTGGACTCATCAGTTTTGCTACATCATACAGCTGTTTGTCCTTCTTGGACTCATCAGTGATGTTACATCATACAGCTGTTTGTCCTCCTTGGACTCATCAGTGATGTAACATCATACAGCTGTTTGTCCTCCTTGGACTCATCAGTGATGTAACATCATACAGCTGTTTGTCCTTCTTGGACTCATCAGTGATGTTACATCATACAGCTGTTTGGTCCTTCTTGGACTCACCAGTTTTGCTACATCATACAGCTGTTTGTCCTTCTTGGACTCATCAGTTTTGCTACATCATACAGCTGTTTGTCCTTCTTGGACTCATCAGTGATGTAACATCATACAGCTGTTTGTCCTTCTTGGACTCATCAGTGATGTTACATCATACAGCTGTCTGTCCTTCTTGGACTCATCAGTGATGCTAACAACCTAAAAATACACTGTATGAAATGTTATTTGTGATTGCTATTATATTCTAGTGTTAGTATCTGTATATATGTTTCTGCCTAACATGGCTGCTTTTTCTCAAACCTGACAAGGATACATGTTACATTCATATACAATAATGTAACATGCTTTTTACACCCCAAACGTAAACTTTAATCAGCTTGTCTGTCTGTAGAAAAGGTTTTTCCACACATTATCCTCTCAAACTTAAGAACCAATTTCAAACAGGATCACTGATGTGCACTTACCTTGTTTTGGGGGAAAATGTGGTTCCCATTGTGGTATGCTGGCCACAGAGCTTAAATATAAAGGCCCATAGCTCATCAGTGCTTTGACAAATTTAATCAAATGTGGTGAAATATTATACCTAATTGAAGCCTTTAATATAACAAACTAGTGTTTCTGAAATTTTTACTATGGAAACAGGATGGAGGATTCAGATTTGTTGACATTAAGATATTGTCCACTTGAGAGGGAAAACGTTTTAGAGAAGTTAAAGGGAATAACAAAAGCAATGGTACCAATTCTGAAGTCATAAGGTGCCATTTTGTTGCCATGGTACCTAAATGAAATGGCTTTTACTTGGAGGAATATATTGGGGGACACCTTGAAGTAGAAAATTGATTTCAGCTTAAACTATTAGAATAGAAATATACAGGCCCATAGGTAGACATGCATGCAACCTTTCTTTGCTATATTTTGGTTGCCTGCTTATTATACACAGGAGAACAGAATATGTCCGAAAGAGTTGTAAGAGGGTAGAAGGGTTGGGGTTTGGAGGTGGAGAGGATATATTTGTTTACTATACTGTTGAAAGTTCTGATGTATTTAGTCAGTTTATAAGTGAGAAACCTCATTAATAATACCACATCAAACTTGAATGTTAATTGTTTACTCTTTATTTTACAGTTCCATGAAACACAAGTTTTACCCCTTCAATATTGAGTATTAGTAAGAAAACGTGGCTGGAGATATATTAATCAAAATCAGCTGTGTACCAAGTACTATTATTTCATTTACTATGGTATGCTGTCGACCTGGAGGAGCTGGGGATTCGATGATCATGTACAATATAGCTGGGTGTGCTACAGAAATATCTGATGGAACCTGATACACATAGATGTTTTTTGTTGTATTGCTGGGAATGCTGCAGAACTATCCGACTGGATTTAAAACACAAGCATGTATTAGTGTCGCAGGTTGTACAGTAAACCTAACTGAGCTGGGGATTTAATGCACATATATTTCTGAGTGCACAGGCTATCTGTGGGAGGGATCTGATGCACATGCAACAATGGGTGTACAGTGAGCTTTCTGAGGAGATTATATGTTTTGTCTTGGATATGAAGCAAAGATAAAACTGAAGCTGTCGGAGGATGTGCAGATAAAGCTGGAGCTGTCTGAGGATGCACAGATAAAGCTGGAGCTGTCACAGGATGCGCAGATAAAGCTGGAGCTGTCTGAGGATGCACAGATAAAGCTGGAGATGTCTGAGGATGCACAGATAAAGCTGGAGATGTCTGAGGATGCACAGATAAAGCTGGAGCTGTCTAATGTGAGAAGAATGAATATGGTATATTAGGAACATTTATTTTTCGGAAGGGACTTGATACACATATCATATTTAGTATACTGCCAAGATATCCAAGATAGTCTAATTGAATATGTATTTTCAGTTGTGGCATGGTGTTATTTTAGAGGAATTTATGTACTACAAAGTGTACCGGCCGGGTGTTGTAATTGCCAAGTGCACAGACACACAATGGTTTATGGTGCTAACACTATCTCTGTAATAATTTTTGCTCTTGTGTATTAATCTAAAATTCAAAGTTCATGTATGCCTGGTTTATAAAGTGAGTTGAAGAGTCATAAGAATATATATTATGTATGTAGAGAAGTTGTGAGTCAGTTTAAAGTCTGGAATTCAAGCAAATGCCATATTGTGAACTAGAAGTGCTGTAGATTCAGTCTATGTTGAATTTCTGTTGATAAGTAATGTACACTTGTACTATAAAATCAGTGTTTTACTGGGCGTTTTATTTTTGTTGATTTCAGATGTACCTGAGATCTGTTAATTAATATGGCAATAAAATGTTTTGTTGTATAATTACTTGTGTATATGTTGAAAAAGCTTCATGGTTTCAAATTAACATTATTGTTGATCAGCTGCTTTTAACACAATGTATAAATAGGTATTTACACTTATATGAGAGAGAGAGAAAGAGAGAGAGAGAGTGATGTTTATTGGAGAAAATCTAAATTGTAAATCGCCAGTTTTTTCTGTACCAAACGAATCCTTAATTTATAGTTACTCCTGAAATATGGAGAGAAAACATAAAGAATTTTGTGATTCATGACCAAACTGATAAGAAACATCTCAGGTTTACCTGTTTAGCAATTGAAAATGATCTTTTTTAATATGAAATTATACAATCTTTTTATTAAAACATGATAACACTTTTTTATGACAGTACATTGTGGGTAGTTTGGAAGATGAGCTGTGTCACTTGTGCTTCTTATCAAAGGATATCACTCAGTCTCTAACTGTGAACCTATTGGTAATGCCACTTGAAGTTTTAGAATGAGTATAATATCGATGGTACTTGTATTTGCGGTAAAATCTTGACTTTTGCTTCTTGTGAATAAATTTCATGCATTGGTTTTAGACAATCAGTATTTAGCATAAATAAACTTTTTGACTAGTGTATGTTTTAATTAGATTGTACTGATTTTTGTTGTAATTCCTTGAACCCAATGTCCTGATAACATACCTTCAGATCTTTGTTGTAATTCCTTGAACCCAATGTCCTAATAGGAAACTTTCAGAATTTGTTGTAATTCCTTGAACCCAATGTCCTGATAACATACCTTCAGATCTTTGTTGTAATTCCTTGTACTCCATGGTCCTGATAACATACTATCATATCTTTGTTGTAATTCCTTGTACCCCATAGTCCTGAAAACATACTATCATAACTTTGTTGTAATTCCTTGTACCCCATAGTCCTGATAACATACTATCGTAACTTTGTTGTAATTCCTTGTACCCCATAGTCCTGATAACATACTATCATAACTTTGTTGTAATTCCTTGTACCAATTGACCTAATATGATGCCTTCAGCTTTTACATCTGGCATGTGTGTTCCATAACACCTTTCCAACGGTACCAAGATTTTTGAACTTGTGACCTTGACTGTGAGCTTTGACCTACATTGAAATTTAAAAAAGTCATTACCACAATAAAGACATTGTTATTCTTAGTACCCTTTGTCCTGATAGTAGATCAGTCAATCTTTTTGGTATTAACCAGAACCCTTGATTAATCCAGGTGAAAGGTTATACTGATTCTATATTTAACTTCTGTATTGCCCCTAGGTTGGTTAGATTTGTACTGTCGGTCGATTTTATCTCTTTGTTCCATGAGCCACGAAAAGATCGAAGTACATACATTATATATGTTGTTTTTACTTATGTATTGTATCTTTGCCTTTGACATATTAGTACTGGTCTAGACATAGTTCAAAGATACGGGCCCCACGACCTCAACATCAGTACTGTATTGTAAGTTGGAAAAAGAACATCCTTTGACAAGTATCCAAACAAGAACACATCAATACTTGTAATTTGCTGTGTAATTTAAGTTATGTAGATTGCATTTCGTCAACTTGAAGGTTCACCATAAGATGTTACTGGTTAGAAAGCAACACAAGAAAGGTTCTAAGTATGCTTATTCTCACAAACTCTTTCACAATTTTGTGTACATATCTACAACAAGAAAAATATATATAGTATGATATGTCATATGTCAACTATCTTGGTGAAGGACTTTTTCGAATGCAGTGTTCAATTACTCCTCAATGGTGGTCTACCTGTATATTGCAAGTTTCTCAATTGCCCATAGATGTAACATATTGTTTCTAGATAAAATACAAGTTATAGATCTGATTGAAACATAACTTTCAACTTCAATTCTGATAAGAATTTGTGTCAGGAGGATATACCACTATGATCTGCAGTCTTATTGTGTATGTGATTGAAGAACAAATTCTATGAACTTTCCATAGATTTAAAGTGGGAGATAAACCTGATGTTAATTATTTGCACAGTTTCCTATAAATGCAAATTCTGAAAATACCTCAGTAATATGATTAATGTTTAACAAATGGTGCATGATAAAATTCTACTCTTCATAGATTGCATTTTATATTTTGCCATCAGAAAATTTTGATTTACAAATGTAATGGAATGTGTAATATAAAATGGTGAAATTGGAATTAGGGTTCGGTGAACCTAATCCCTATATTAAACATAGCATATTATAACACAGTATACCAATATTTTTTATTGTATAGCACTTTTTGGCCATAATGCTATATATATTATGAACTGTGTTGTGATGCTCTGTAAATCTTTGATATATTTCTTACTTATCTATAGATGTAATGTGTATTTATTTCGTGTCCTTGTATTATCAAAAATGCCAAAAAAATAACTCGGTATTGCATTTTGAATGTAGATACATATGAAAACACCAACTAAAGTTCAGATGGTTGTTTTACTGGATGTACGAGAAAGGACAAAGGAGAGTCTGTAATTGTCATGTAAATACCATATTCTGAAAGAAAGCCTGGAACACCTTAATGCAGCATTTCATTGTGATTTTACAGAGGAATATTCCTGTTGATTTGAGTAGACTTATATTTACAATAAAGTTGTAAGTGCTGTTGTATGCAGTCAAATTCTATTATTTTGAAAAATGCCCTAATGTGTGAGTGAGCCTTTTTGTGGTGTGTTGACTGTTCATTTGCTGTCTTCAACTCTCCTGTAAACTCTTTGCATGGCGTCAGTGATCAAATGTGTTTCGTTTGTGTCAAGGTCACATAGAGATTTCTTGACTTACTTGGATTGCCAAGGTTTCCTTTATAGTCTTCCATAAAACCTTTTTTTCTATTTGAACCCTTGCTGCCTTTGTTTCGTTGATCTTTAGTTTGAATTAAGATTCTGTTGACAAATATTTCAAGCACGTTTTTCGCTCAACTGGTCCTAAGGACTGCAGAGCTTGTCCCATTGTGTGGTGTCTGGCGTCCGGTGTCCATCATCCAGGTCCGGCCTCCAGCGTCCGTTTGTCAACTTTTTCTTAAAATCTCTTCTAGTCATGAACGACTGAGGGGATTTTAACTCTATTCGATCAGAGGCATCCTTAGTGCAAAAGGTCGTAGCCCGATAGGGATAATAGCATTTGGTTTTGAAAATCTTACTTGAGGAATAATTGAATTTGAATTTTTGTCCAAATTTGGTCTGAAGTATGCTTGTGTGAAGGGGAGTCAGTGTATAACCCATTGGTCTCGGCACCCAGGGCTGGGCCCAATAGGGGAATAGAGAACAGAGAAATTTCTTTAAAGTCTATATAGCAACTTCTCATGACCTATATAAGCTACACTTGTAAGGTCGCACAACGTTACACGATGTGGAAAATGCGCACGATGTCTGTAAGATGTACGCACGATAGGAAAGCCGAAGAAATTACTAATAATCTATCGCACATTTGTGCGTAGGTTGTGCAGTTCTATCGCACAGTTGTATACTGAAAGGATTACGAAACGCAACTTCTTAAATTGTAAAATATTTAATATTAAATATACATAGCCGGACAAAAAGTACGAGGGATATTAGGGCACCTTATCTTATCCCCCCAAAAAACTTACCAATATGTCGCGAATGTACAAATGCACGCTTTCTTTTCGATTCAAAGTAATGTCGAATTATGACCAACACACGTCATCATCAATACATTTGCAATCAATAACTGTTTTTACAAATATGACAAACTGATAGAGACCGATCTCTCGCAATGCTCATCATGTGCAGTAGCACTTAATAGCAAATCGCTACTCACTTCGGAGGTCACAAATTGACGATATAAGTTAGTTTTACGTCTCAACGCCACGAGAAGAGTTGGTGACAAACTGAGATCCAGATGTCTACGTGTTGCGTCGTGACGTCAAGACCGGTTCGTAAGGCTTACTGACTTGCCTGACATGAGATTAACAGCAGCCGAAAAGGCACGAAATACCTGTGGAAATGGAATTAGTGCAACCAGAAATAGACTACGAACGGCAAATTTACGCCCACGTCGCCAGTACGTTGATTTGCCACTGACATCATAACGTCTAACACGTCGTTGGTGCTGGTTGACGACACAAGTGCCCAGACGTTTCCCTATGAACTGTAGGAGGTCCATGCACGTTTTTTTGATCGGATGGCCGTCAAGGTGTGTACCGGTGTCGAGGAGAGCGTCTTGCAGACGCTTGTGTTTTGATTTGTATTTTCAAGAAATAAAGACTTTCTGCAAAATGTCTATATATTCTGAACAAAAAACTATCTGGCTTTAAGACATGTACACTTCTAATGAGAACAGCTTGCAGAGAGAGGCTACTGGTTACTGTAAATCTGTCATTAAATACATATATGTCTTGTTATTTACACGGAAAGGTTTAGGTACTGAACACATGTATGCTCTATGTATATTAATTTCGTTAAGTATTAGTAATTACGGATATGCTTCATTTCTTAAAACAGACGCCATCTCGAAAAAGTTGGTCTCCCGGCATCATCAGACACAATTACTCCATTTCGAATGCTTTTGATATATACATGCGTGCCAGCTGTCACTGATTTGACTAGTAAACCTGTGGCTGACTGGTAATTACCGATAGTTCCTCCAAACAAACCCAGTATTCCCTCCTGTGCCCCGTTAAAAAAGTGCAGTGTTGACATCTTAGTGTGCGTCGGAAACTGTAGTCCATGTTAATGTGTACACCCCGCTCATTGGTACAGTGTAGATGTCCTCACTCTCATTGTATCCGCTCCCAATATCTGTCATAACTTCAGAAAATACAATTGGTTCGTTTACATCGAGATTTCTTTTTCCCGCACTCGTTGAAACCGAGAAAGCTATTTCTGATGGCGCTACCGGGTCCACTCTTACTGAAAGACAGTAAAATATATTCAATTACAATTTTCAGTTTGGTCTATTTTGTGATCATTTAGTTTGATATTGTAAAAAGCCCCAAAAAATTATCTGGGCGGCCCGTCAAAGTCAAGAACAATTTTTTTTTGCTCCAAGCATCGCTGAATAGTTTTAAAGGTATAGACCAGATGTGCTTTTCAACATTAATTAATTTTTGTTTATGAATATTGGAAGGTGCTACTACCATAATTTACGATGACAAAATAGTCATGTATAAGCAATGATGACGTACTTGAGGCATTGTGGTTAAACATTTTCTCTTCTAGTCGTTCATTTCTAATGAAAACATAGTGTTTATATTCACGGGGACGATCTTCACTTTTTGATGACAGATGAGCAATTTCATTTTGTTTATCATCTTGTCCAGAGGAAATGGATTCCTTTGAATGCTTTTCGAATTTGGCTATTCGGTTAACACTTGCCCTCGAACTCCCCTCGTAAATTGTCATTCGTTTTATTAGTTGAGTTTATCTTTCTCCTTGATACCATTTTCGTGGCGTATCACCTTCGTTTTAAGCAGTGCTATAGGACGTTCGCTCGGCTGTTCTCTCTTTGTTATCTAAAAGCGTCATCTCCAGCGTCTTGTCCTTCTATTTTGTCCATCAGCAGCGATAAACCTGCATTGTAAATCTTTGATATCGTGTAATGATTATCGTACAAGGTAATAAATAGCAAAACCCACCGCTCATATCAATGGACCGATATTTAAATATTATCTCATTTAATATCACATTACGTATTCTCACAGCTTTACGTCTTGGATACATACTGTGCTTCACATCAATTATTGATAAGTACGATATAAGAAACCTCCAGAGAGCAAAAAGCAACACACTGTTTAGTCCAGAAATATGAAGCAGGAAGATATTAACGGCGACATAAGATATTAACGGCGACATCATACACCCGGTCCGATTAAAACTGGAAATATGGTACAACATGATAATGTTCCGAGAGTTATATAACAACAGTTTCTCCATTGTATCCGAGGCAAATACAAATTGGTCAAACAAAATGTAAAAATATAGATTTGGAGGTGCACTGAAAACATCAAGAACATACCAAGATGTCAAAATATTAATTATTCAAACTCAAATTCAATTAGGACAAAATATTGACAAAAGAGACATTTACACGGAGACTCCTGAATTTTCTTCGATGTAATAATTAATTAGAAATCTTAATTTTGTCACTGTTCGCATGAATTGAAACGGCATTCAGTTATGTTAAACCTCGGAAAATAATAGACCACATGCAGTGTCCACCATCTGCAATCCCAAAGATTGTACGAAAGATTAAAGAAAAGGAGGCGACCGCACGAAACGAAATATCAAAATCTAGATCGGGTAGAGCAGTACATATAGACTCAAATTTTCATAGTTTAAAAGTATCACATGATTTCTATATTTCATGTGAGGTAAAATTGATAATTTGTGATCTTCATGTGTGTATTTTTACGATACATAAACAAATACATAAAAGAAAACATAAAGGGAATTCTTGTTTGAAACTCTTGCCACAAATAATTGTTACTAAGCAATGCTTATTATAAGCAGAATATAAATGCAAGATATGGAAAATACTGGTTGTTGCCAACATATTGAGTTATAGATGAACTAACACATTCAGATGCTGCCGTCAGTAGAAAACGGGCGACTACACAACAAAGAAATTCGTGCACACCGTCATCGCTGAATCCGACTGGAGATGAGACCTCAGATGTCATGGGTATAAGATTCCAGATTTCAGAGGCCCTTGCGTGTATGCAGTTGTAACGGACCAACCCGTCGAACCAATAAACTACTGGGGTTTTTTTCGTTCCGGACCTTTTTCAGTGGCTTATCTGGCACGTTTTGTCTGAGGGTCAAGGCAGCTCAGGTTGGAAAGTAAACAAATGCAGTTGGAACTTCTTAGAATTTGACAATAATCCTATGTTACTACATATGTAAACATCAGTACGAAGAAAGTATAGATTCCAGATTCCTGACGCCATTTCTGTATATTTTGACATTTTATCACATAGATGAAAAGTGACAAAACACATTCAGGCAAAATAATTTTCTATCTGTATTTATCTTCATCCTTCCAGTCTATGCTTCGATAATCGATAATTTGATACGAATTAACCCATTATCCCTAATGCGTTCATCTTGCATATTAAGTAATTGAAACATTGCAATGATATGTTTTTTCTTAGCACTGTGTTTTAATCAGTTGATTTAATCATCATACTTTGCTGGATCATATTCATTTAAAGCCTGGAAAAACATTACGTTTCCTGCAGTATATTTATATATAATAGTGAATTAATTCAGTCATACTTGCAAGTTATATCTCTGCAATAACTGTCCCAAGGCCTTATGATATTTGTATTTCACAACTGTCTTTTTGCAGCAAATTATATTGAAATATTCGGAAGTTAAAGTTGTACCATAATACTACAATGGTATTACACTTTGATTAATAATTTCCTGTTTCAAGTATGAAAGAAAAAATGAATTAATTCAGTCATACTTGCATGTTATATCTCTGTAATAACTGCCCCAAGGCCTTAGGATATTTGTATTTTACAACTGTCTTTTTGCAGCAACTTACATTGAAATATTTGGAAGTTAAAGTTGTACCATAATACTACAATGGTATTACATTTTGATTAATAATTTCCTGATTCAAGTATGAAAGAAAAAATGAATTAATTCAGTCATACTTGCATGTTATATCTCTGTAATAACTGTCCCAAGGCCTTATGATATTTGTATTTTACAACTGTCTTTTTGCAGCAAATTACATTGAAATATTCGGAAGTTAAAGTTGTACCATAATACTACAATGGTATTACACTTTGATCAATAATTTCCTGTTTCAAGTATGAAAGAAAAAAATTCATATTGTGCATTACATTCAGTATATCAACCAGAAACTTTTTTAATGTTTGAACCAATATCCTACCCTTAGTGATAAGCTTAATTGTTTATTAATACATTTACTTGGCTTAATTAGCTTCTTACAGCAATATGTTAGCCAAATAAAGGTTGAGCTGAAACACATGGACAAACCAAATATTTAATGCATTATTCAAAATATAAAAATGTGGAGTAATTTTGCATCTTCTGTATAATAGCAACGAAGTGTTCTAACGATATTAATAATTAATTTCATCAGGAGTTTGGTTGATGTATTAATTTGAATTGTGGAATTGGATGAAGAATATAACAGTAGTATAAGGAAAGCCAACCATTATACATTTTATAAATTGTAACAATTCACTATTTACTATATAATGTAACACTTTACAAAGTAGTAATCATTCTTGAAAATATTTGTAATCAATACATGAATAGTTCAATCATCTAATTTCAATTTCAAGAACTTGTTTGAGCTGTAGTGGTTATACCTCATTTCAGTGGATTGATATGTAACTTCTTTTATTTAATTTCTTTCTGTTAATTGAAAAAGTAGGATAACCTTTTTAGAGTAAAGTGAGGTGAAGGAAATGGAAACTAGTATTGGAGAGGTTAGGCATATTCCCTGATAAATAAACGATACACATCTCGGTACAGTATATTTTTAAATAACTTATTTCATACATGAATAACGTTGATTAACCATAGTAAAATTAATCAATAGAAATTACAGCATTTACACAAAATACACATACTGATTATTTCTTGTAAAATCGAAGTGAATTTTTCATTTCTCATTCGCGATATCTTCAATCAAACACAGTTCACGTGACATACTACTATGGTACTCTGTCAAGAAGACAAGCAAAAATGGTAACAAATGTTATAGAATAAATGATATCTGCTTCATTGCAAATACATGGTTATCAATTAATAGAATTTTATCTGCTGAAAGCTGCATGCTCTTGAATTGATAGAGAATATAATTTCTAAATAACATTTTCTGAAGAAACGCAAAAATGTTTCTGATTAAGCAAAGCAATCATTTTCATTTTCATTATTATTTTACTATAAACTATTTTGTCATAAACTTTAAATAAAAAACCAAGAAAACCATAATACACAAGTTTCTAATATCTAAAACTATTCATGGTCATTGACTTCTGTACTCATTATTTGATAAACATATAATTTAATAAAATGATAAATAAATTCCTGAAAATATTTACACAATGTGCATTGAGATACTCGTCTGTTTTGATATTTAAATAATCAGTTGATAATTAAATGAAATAAAAAACAATATTGTGAATGATTTATATCTGAATCAGAATATAAATACTTATGTTTTATCCTTATCTAATGTTTATAAAATTTCTTCACCTTGTGTTGCCTTTACAGAGCTTATGATATATTTAGTCTGTCTAGTCCGTCAATGAATATTTTTTCTATTATTTGATAAAAATGTGTAAAATCTGCATTAAATTTAGTGTCTTTTTGTTTCTCTTAACAAAGCGATGCTGTTACAAAGTCATTTTAATTGTCGATGTCCGAAAAAAATGTATAAGAAACTAGAAAAATTCCAACATGCAAATTTAAAGTGAAGTTTGATATTGGTAGCCATATTGGAACGGAAACGCGGTTAAAGCCTGTTATTTATTCCGAACGAAACCGTACCACCTGCGTGTCGTTACGACTGGATAAACGAAAGCGGGCCAGGTCTTTTACAATTGTAGATAGACCAATGCATTCACAACCATGTTAATACCTAACATTACAAGGCTGCTTTTTATAAGGAAGCATGACGATGATGTCCATACCTCATTACGCTTGCAATACAAGGTTTCAAGGGATGCAGATTAATGAAGACCATGAAAGTGTTATTGCCAAAGGGCCTGTAACCATGTATCTGGGAGATGAATAGATTTTAAAGGCGGCCTATCGGTTTGCCTCAAAATAATCAATGTAGCATTGATAATATGCTTGTAATAATGGCTGCATTTCCAATTTAGAGGTAATAACTGCTGTTATATGACTAAGAAAATTCCTCTCCTGTTGTCGACCAAGAATCTTCCAAACGTTTTGACAAAATGCGATGATAACATCTGGCGAACTCCTCTAAAGGAGTTTATCGCAAATTGATATCTTACACTAAGAGCGAGGTTATCAGCGTTAATTGATTTTCGTTATAATATGTACATCTTAAATACCGTGTTATGTAACAAAACAGTTCTTGATACTGTTCAGGTTCTTGTATATTATGTATTCCATGTCATGATGACTTAATATTAAAATACACAATAACTCCAAAGGACTCACAACGCAAGTTTGTGGTGTGATAGCTGTCTGATGTGGGGAGAATGAATATGGTACATTTGGAACATTTATTTATCAGAAGGGACTTGATACACATATCAAAATCTGTATAATCAATTTTGCTTCCGCTTTGAATTGAATACAATTTTCAAAATATTTCCAAAAATTCAAACTTACTTTTTTAAAAAACGAAGATAGGAAATTTGTGAATTGGAAATTATCTTCATGATAACAAAGATGTTAAGATAGGAATATAGTGAGCAATTTAATAGGAAAAGAGTTAACACGTTTGTCCTTTGTTATAAAAAATGTATGACCATGACAATGTCACTTGTGATACATTATTTACAATAATAGTAATCAGGTAAGAATCTCAATTAAATTTAAAACAGGAATGTTATATTTCCAACCCATTGGACAGAAATATCAACACTTCCAATGAGGGTAAGATATCTCTTGCCGAGGTAAAACGGCCTTCACGCACAAATATGAACACGTGCTTAACCGGAAGTTGTTAATTTGAGACTTGAGAGACATGACTGATCGATGTCGACAGTTTCAGATAAGTTTAAAAGAACGAAGACAGTATCTGATCGCCTTTGTTTATACCATTCAGTTTTAAATGCATTATGACAAAGAGTTATTAGTACGATTGATTGTCTTTGTACGATGTAAATTGTAGATTAAAAATGCTTCTATTGACAGATATTCCATGCACATTATTAGAAACAGCACACATAATGATATTTTCTTGTGATGCTGACGAAAATGTCCGATACTGAGGTTTTGAAAAACCAATTATGATTCTTGTCATAACAGCATCATAACATATATATCATCGCTCCTTCTTGTGATTTTCCAAAGACCACTTTTTCGTCTCTTCTTGGCCAGCAGATATTAATGAATTATCCTCAATTATCAAGTCTGCATTTATGATAAAAGAATGTTTTCCAGCCTCCGATATTTGTCGGCTTACCCATAGAACAGATTAAATATTTAGCGCTTTAAAAATGTAATAACATAAGGATAATGCTGAGAGGACATAACTTTCAAAGTGTAAGGTGGCGTATTGTGTATCGTACTCTGTCGTTCTCTGCGATAGGTTAGGGTAAACTTCCCTAAATGAAAAGGTGAAAAAAAAATTAGATGATGAGGTAATAAAATCAGTGATCTTTGTGTTAAATGTTGAATTCTACATGTTTTTTGTCATTCTTAAATCTTTCATGGGGAAACACAAATACATGTTTCCTATCCGAATACGATTTATATGCTATTAAATCCCGATAATCCCATCTAGAGACATAGCAACTATCAGGTAATTCAGGGTTTTCAGGCAATCTGAAAAAAAACCAAACGAGAAACAAGGGAAGACATCTTATAACCATATTTTATTAGATTAGAGATTATCATTAATCAAAATACACGGAAACTTAAAAAACACAAAAAACAAAATTTTAATTTTGAAAAATAAAAAAAATAAAAAAAAAAAAAAAAATAAAAACATTTGCATATCAAACTCCTTTTGAGTTATTAATTGAAACCATTACTTATTTGTCTTTGAAAATTGAAAATAATGATCTAATTCCATTCCCCGTTGAACATTAAATGAGTGAAGGAGCGGTTATAAAAAATGGTCTTCATTTTTCAAAACAGACGCCATCCCGAAAAGGTTGGTCTTACCAAACCGTCCGACACAATGGCTCCATTCATATTGTTCTTTATATACACGTGATCTCCAGCTGTCACTGCCTTGACTATGACACCCGTGGCTGATTGGTAATTATTGATGTTGCCTCCGAAAGAACCAAGAAGCCCTTCAACGGAACCATTTATAATTAGTGAAGTGCCGATGTTGCTGTGTAAAGAGGAAACCGTGGTCCAGGTGAACACATACACCCCGCTCTTGGGTACAATGTAGATACCATCATGCTGGTTGTATCCTCTCCCGATGTCGGTCATGACCGTAGAATATACGATTACTTCGTTCACATGTAGAGTAGCCCCTTTACTCAAGGAAACACAGAAAGCAACCCCCTGTGTCACTATCGGACTCACCCTGACTGGAAAACAATACAAAATAAATTGGATCAATTTGTGGATCAATAATTAGTATTACAAAACAGAAACAAAAGGTGTTGTTCTGGAACACCTATGATATATCTTAACCTCTCCTAAGGTAAGTTGTATTTTTATATTGCATGATGTACATGTATTGCATTCTAATAACATAATTAGTATACTAAATTCTATTGGCAAATGTTAAGCTACTTGTTAATGATTTATGAAGTCTGAAAGTGTATCAATACGATATTAAAGCATGTTGAATAAACAACTGATACATACTAGAAGGTTCATGCTCTATCATTTTCTTCTCCTGCTGATCATATTCACGTGGATCCTCTGTTGACAGATAAGTTATTTCAATGTTGGTATTTTCATCTTCAAAAGAACTGACGGAATCTTTCTGACGGGATACATTATTTTCCCTTTCGACTTTATGTTGATCTTTTCCCCTCAAACTCTCTTCAAAAAATGCCATCCTCGACCTCAGTTCAGTGATTCGCTGATCTTTTTCCACCAGATTCTCCTCGTAGATTTTCATCCTCGTTTTAAGTTCCATTAAATGTTGATCTTTCTCCAGTAGAGCTGTCTCATGATCTGACACACTCGTTTCAAGCTGTGAGATACGCCGCTCCTTTGCCTCTGCTTTATCTTCATGGTTTAATAACGCCATCTCCAGCTGTTTTAACCTCACTTCTTGACTTTCTATTTTCTCCATTAGCTGCGAAAGTACTACCTCATGGAATCTACAAAATCATGAAATGGTTATCGTATGATATAAAAGCAACATTTAAATGTTAGCAAATTATTAAGCGACCATGCAATGCACAGGCTCGGAAAAGAACGTCTAAGAATATACTTAGTGTCGGGTAAACGGGTCCTCCTACAACCTTCTGTACCGCAGATACATTTGCAAAGCTAATTCCAACTGTAGGACAGAGAGGCAAAAGGAGATTATTGATTAAAACAGAAAGAAAAAGAAAGCCAAGGTTCCAGTCAGGTAAGCTGATTTTGGAAACTTGCTTAAAACCAGATATATGTTTCACTTCCTACATGTATTCTTCGTAACATTGATAAACAACTTCTTAAAGATATCACGTGATGGAGTTGTCCCCCTTTGTTCAATTTCTTTATAAAAATTACATTAATTTTTTTTCATTTCGTTTATTTTATCTTGCTTGATTTTTCAGGTCTTGTACAATCTTCGAGATTACGTTTCATTAAAAGTCTTCGTAAGAGGTCGTTGATAAAATATGACTGACACAACAGGTTTCTCACATTTTGTTAATTAATATTTTTGATGCATTTGAATTCCTTAACATTTATTTCAAGGACTATGGATTTGACAATCTCATATTTTGAGGGCGTACTTGTCATGTAAGTATGTGGATAAACTTGATCTTTTGACTTAATTTGCCCATTATAAACAAATTATTTGGCGGGGGTTTCATTTTGCTCATAATCTACAAATTAATGTCCCCGAATCAAACAACTTGAAATTATTATTATGTAGATTTCTTTTGTCCTATTCTTAAAGGATTGAACCCCCTGAAACGTTTTACAGTAATTCATTAAGATATGCTTGCTGTATTTCTCTGTTTTCATATATATCCATGTTCTGGACAGCTTATTGTGAATCAAAATTATCTACATAAATAATGCAAAACTACAACGTTAGCAAACCGAAGGTCAACACGATGAAGAAATGATAACGTTATGTTAAATTATCGTGACAGTAACGCAGAGTTTAAGATAAAAGTGAAAGATAAAGATTAATGTTCACGTTTTTCGTGTTCATGGATTTACGGTCGACTAGGAATGGTATCGGTGTTTCATTTTGTAAAATTAAATGTATGAGATATATTTTAAACTTCGAAACCTGAATAAATTTAATCTATAGATCGAATGTTGCTCATATATATATATATATATATCTCAATTCCGATTACACATAAACAAATAGTTTAAGGATTGTTCAAAAGGCAAACAAGTGAATAGCACATTTTGCTAATTTACAGTGAGATACTGTAGGGCAAAACAATTACTTAAACTATATTATACAAGTGTTTCGTCCTTCTAGGACTCGTCAGTGATGATAAAATATTGAAGGCTAGGAGGCGATTAAAGAAAATGCTCAGATGCCACAATTCGAGTGAATTAAAACGTGGCAAGCAGGTAACGGCAAACCTCGGGAACTTAAAGTCCACCAGCAGTGTCCACCACCTGCTATCTTAAAGATTGTAAATAGACACACGATCGAATAGCACCTTTTCATAGTTTAGAATGAGATACAGTAGAGCCAAACAATGAAGTAATCTGCATCTTACAGCTGAAAACTACATTTTGAAGAAATTCATGCTGTTTATACTCATATCACGGTTAGTTTTTTTGTAAACAATGTGCACCACAGGTCAAGTAACACGCACTACGTAAAACACTTACTGTTTGTTGTCTACAAATTGCATCCGAGACGAACCAACAAATTCAGATGCCGCCATGAGCAGGTAACAGTTGATCACACATAAAACGAACAAATTCCTGCACACCGCCATCTTTGTCTTTACTTCGACATGAGATAAGACTGAAAGTCTTCTTTTGCGCAAAGAATGGTTAGATTTCTCCAGTGGTTAGTAACAATTTTTCAGATTTAAATGAAACATACTTAGAAACATTTTTTTATCATTCAACAGTTGAAGAGTTGTTGCGACATGCGATACTAATATTCGCTGAGTGTCAATTTTGTTTTTAAAATCCTTGTTTCTTTCACTTTAACTTTAAATGGCTAAATCTAATTATGCTTTGAGTAACTGAGCCCAAACGTTGCGTGTATAAGTTTAGTCTAGAAATAATGGTCATCAAAAATAACACAAACTAGGAACTATTAGTATCGTTTTTCTATTTATAAGTGGGGTCTATGAGGGTCATCCTTACTTAACATACAGTATTGAGTTCTGTGAGATGCAGTTCGATGAAGATTAGAGAGTGTTATTGTCACCAAAATGGTAACCTTTATTCTAGGTGCAGCATACCGGCGGTAGATGCGTAGGATGTCCGTTAATATATCTGATCGTTTCATTATTGTTGCCCTTGCTATCTGTGAAAGTAACATTACTTACTGTATTGACCAAGTTTTGTTGTCGTCGATGAAGCAGAACCTAACTGCCAATGAAATCTTACATAACAAAATGACACAAGAAGCAGAATGATGAATTCAGGATATTGAATTATTTTCATACCGCTACCATGAATCTATTTTGAAACATTTCATTTCCATTTGCATGCTAAAGGAAGTGCGGCGTTTATGTGAACTGGAAACTGTCTCTGTGTTTACGATAAACAGTCAACGTGTGGTGGCTATTAATTAGTCGCATTCACGACTGATGTCATTCTGAGAACTTTGTACCGTGATCTGCATGACTTTGCCGTTGGTTAAGTAGAATACATTTTCGATCTTAAAACACAGATATGTTCCCTCCAAGATTAAAGAATATCAAATTTTGTTCAAAATTTTTCATAGACATTGCGTTTAAAAACAGTTTCATTATAACTTCGGTACTTGTTAAAAATAATTAAATGAAACGACATGAGGCGTAAAGTTTCATATTGCATCGACAAAAGTGATATTAAATGTATCAAGACTAACTAATAATTTTATGTCATATCCTTTACTTTTGCTTTGGAATAATCAAGATTTATAATGTGCGATTCTTCACAGATGAATATAAGAGCTACCTATTACAAACGTCTAGAGTTGGGCTATATATATTGTTGAAACTTTAAAGGGCGCAGGTTCTACAACAGCACACCCGTCAATGAAGTTCAATCTAAATGCATATTTCATTAGTTGTTTTTTTGGAGCGAAATTGATGATATATGCATATAAGGATCAGTCTTAGTGTTTCAATGAAATGTATTTTACTTATATAGTGCTGTGAAATAGAAATTGTTTGACTTAGAAGGAAGAAACAACTGTATGAGTCAGTTTAGTTTATAATCTGCTTTGAAAAGTGCTATTCACCTATATGTCTTCAGTACAATTCAAGTCACTATAGAGATATGTATATATATGAACTCGCACTTATTCATTATCGATGCCGAATGGGTTACGGCCACTATCGACCGAAGGCTTTATTTGAGACACATTACTGATAAGACGAGAAGACTATTTTGATCCTCTGGTGTAGTTAAACGAAATTCAGGTCGCATAACGGTACGTTGTGCTAGCTTAGAAGTCGGATGTCGCTTCAGTCTGAAACCCGCTCTAGACTTACCAAATTACATCGCTTGTATCTTCAGTTTTGCTAGGAAATAATCCAGGGGTGCACAAGGCGAAAGTGATCGTAACCCCCGAGTATCGAGAAGTGCGCTTTAGAGATTATTTCAAAGCAACAAGCAGGGATTACACATCTTTGAAAGATGTCCCTGGTACATCTTTTTATCAGAGAACGTGTGATGTAACGTATTGATTTGATTATCAAATAATAATACACCATTAACTATGTGGAGAATCATATGCCAGGTTTTGTTTGTCCTTCGCATATAATTCGCCTGATCTTTAATTTTTAAAAAATTTAACCATGGCGAAATTTATTATACAGTATATATTTTGTACATTACTGATAATAAGGATAACCTTGAGCCATTAATACAACATATTTATATGTATATACATGCTTTTGGGACTAGAACAAATCGATACATCGTACAGCAATTTTTTTCGTCAAAATCGTACTTTAACTGAATTAGGCATACGATGGTGTTTTGAAATATTTAGCTGACGAATATGAAGTGAGAAAGAATTGCAATATACATTGTAGTTCTTGTTTGTCATTGCGAAAATATGACATTGCTAATATTCGATATTCTGGTTAAGGAACAAACAAACAAGCCAAGCAAACCCGTTATATGATACAACTTATATCACACAATACTAAAACACACTTGTACCCACTGGTATGATAACACATATAAAAACAGCTACCGTAATTTTTCTTTCAGATTTATACAAAACATGCAGCCAAAATCATCTGTACACTTAAGTAGTTACAAATACACAAGATTTCAAAAATAGTACATCATTTTATAGTCTATGTGAATTTATGTCATTTTTCTACAAGTTTCTTGGATATTTGGCACATCTTAGCATAACAAATGAAACATTGACATTAATATTATGTTATTAATAATTATTTATTACAGAGAAACATTTAATTGCAAAACATCAGTATCAGATACGAAACCATTTCTCCCCTCCCCGCTCCAAATCATCATGTCTATCTTTGTGAATACCTTCAATTCTGAAGTTTTTTATTAACCTTCTTCAGTTCTACCATCGAAAAGCAGTTATGCTAATTTCAAGTTCATTCAAAGAATATTAAATGATCGACAATATTAACAAAAAGCACTAAACAATATTAGATCTCTTTCATATTCATCATAAGTTTGGACTTCAATCTCCTTGTTGGCAGGACTAGATTTAATGCCCGGAGTTGGTTTGCTAATATATTTTTTCAATGTATGATAACATATACCATTTTATCGCGGTAAAGACAACTAATATGTATATATAAAACAGTTTCAGTTTCAATTGCAGAATATCGGCCTCCTAAATCAACATTTGAATTACACTTTGATTTTTGGATGGCTTGTAAATCAGATGATTTAAATATTCTCAGGTATGTATTCCTAGATGTAAAGCTACGATTTCATGTTTCATATCTGAAAATGAACACAATATATAGTGGAGGGTAAATAACAACAGGTGAAATTAAATCCCAAGATGACGTCATAATGCTGTGCTTTCCTCAACTGTTTTTGCGTCTCGTTTAAGTTCGTCTCTGTGATCATCGAGCATGTGTCTAAGAAAGTCACGTGTTATGTAAGGATTATCAACAGAGTACGTAGTGCTAAGAGAGTCATATTCGTCATTTGAAGACACTTGCGATACACTGTCTTTGTCAGGATCTGGTGTAGTTTGTGTGATGAAGTTCTTTACAGGTTCTGAATGTTTACACAAGTCATCTTTGTCACCGATTCCGGTGTATCCGAAATCTTCACTCTCATGAGAGACATTAGTCCGTTCTGACGTTGATAACACATTTGTCATGAACTCTTCTGCTGATATCAAGTGCTTGTCAAGATCTGACAACATTTTTGTTACAATCATTTCTGGAGAAACAACATCATTGTCAATATCAGAATGCATGTTTGCAATGAATTCATCAGGTGACACAACTCCTTCCCCTTTCGGGCCAGACAACATTTTTGTAACGAAGTCTTTCATTGGTAGACATGCTTCTGACGTTTGCTTTATATCAACTTCCGGTATCGTTGCCAGTGGAGACATCGGTGTAGCTGGTGTGGAAGGAATACTTGTAGAGCAGGCCGACAGGTTGTCATACACATCTGGTAAGGGTCTATCAAACCCTTCACGCCCCTCCAGAAAATAGGTTTTCATTATCCCCTTTCCTTTCACAGTTATTTCACCTCGACAATGTAAATGGTATCCCGAAAACTTCTCCAAATTTTCCTTGGATATCGTACTGAGATGTATCTTCAAAGCTACAAAAGCAGAATTAAATATTGAATTAAACGCAGAAGTCTTTATACAAGAAACGCACTTGGTCACATTTTAATGGCAATAACAGGTAATCAGGAACGGGTTTAATAGTTACTTATTCCAACAACAAGTATTACGTAAACCCATAAAATTATGACAAATGAGAGGATTGTACAAGGCTTACTTGCCGAAATATCTACTATTAAAAGTCAATATCCTCCGATTTTCAAGGCTACCATTGTATTTAAAATGCTACATCATGTACTTGATCATATGACCTTTAGAAAGAGTCATCATTGCAAAATTTCTAAACGACACGGATGTTACTACGGAAATCTATCGGTTACCCTTTTTCTTAAGTTGCAAGCTACTACCATACTATTTATAAGGTAGCTACTTTTTTGCACTGTGGAGCAAAAACAATCGATAGATTTACGAAAGTGGTAAAGGCTTGGAGTTTTTTATGTGTATTTTTAAAATTTCGTTTCTATTTACTTATTTCTTCCACTAGTCTAACATCTTTCACTATGAAAATGGTGAATACAAAATCATTTACAAAAATAGTTTCCGAGTTAAACCACGATCGTTGTATCATGCATCACCGGACACATTGGAAACAAATGATACTTGTACTCAAAACAAAATAATTTCTTAGAAACAGATGTATTGTTATACATTTGTATGTTTATACGTATCAACGTTTAGCTTAGTATAGCTTGTAATAATAATAATAATAATAATAATAATAATAATAATAATAATAATAAATGAAAATGTTATTCCTCAGCAATCTACTTCAATTGTTGAGACTTACGTAGTCCAGTGGACTCCATGCGTGAGGCGACGTTAACCGTGTCTCCGAACAGACAATAACGCGGCATAGCTAATCCCACTACTCCTGCCACTACTGGTCCTGAGTGGATACCTGGAAAGACGACAATAGAGAGTCATATAGTTATAGTTTCGACATGGGCATTATCATAACAACATTACCGGCATGCCACGTTTTAATATTCATTGAAACAGTTGCACTATAGAGAATGTATACACATGTATTTGTGGTTGTCTTTTTTAATTATTTCATATTGAAAGCTTTGATTTTTAAAATTTCAGGTAAGTGCATCTCTCCATCTGATTTTTGACAATAATCTCCACCAATTTGGATCTTCCTCAGTTTCCTCGGGTTTTGACAGCTGTATAATGAAGTAAGGCACAAAACAAAATAGGGCCAACGAAAAATAAACAGTGATAGTCATATTTACTGTTAAAGCCATATTTACATTAAATCCGTGAGTACAGTTTACAATATATAACGTTTACAATATTTACTTTGAAATCCTTAAATACAGTTTACAGTATTTACATTGAAATCCTTAAATACAGTTTACAGTATTTTTGAAATCCTTAAATACAGTTTACAGTATTTTTGAAATCCTTAAATACAGTTTACAGATTTTACAGTTTACAGTATTTACATTGAAATCCTTAAATACAGTTTACAGTATTTACATTGAAATCCGTAAATACAGTTTACAGTATTTACATTGAAATCAGTTTTTTTCAGCATTGACAGTGGAATCCTCATTGACAGCGAATCCGTATTTTCATTGAACACTGTATTTACAGTAAAATCATACTTAACAGTAAAGTGTTTACTTTATCAACATTGAAACCTGTATTCACATTAACAGTATCAACTGTGTTTACTTAAACAACATTGAAACCCGTGTTTACATGTTCAGCATATACTTACGTATTAATATTATTGACATCCATGTTTACAGTATTTATAGTGAAAACCGTCTAACACATTACAGTACTTCCAGTAAAATCCAAATAAAAAGTATTTATATTGTAAACTGCTCTTACAGTGAAATCCATTGTCAGTGTTACTTATTTGCAGTGAAATCATACTTAGAGACAATAGGATCTTTTGTCATGCAAAACGTCATTAAGTAATATGGACGCAATATGATACCTACCAACTCGAATCCTGAGATTTTTGCCATCTTGATGGGGTATACTGAATGTAGTAATTGAGGCTAGAATGTCTAATGCACAATCAGCGATCTCTCTGATGTGGCGAGGGCCGTTTTTCTTTGGAAGACCACTAGCCAACATATATGCATCTCCAATCGTCTCCACCTGGACGAATAAAATAATAATAAAAACGTCTTGATGGTGATGGAAGGCTTAAACGTTATGCGATGTTGTTTGTCTCTGTTTGTCGATGAGTGTCCATTGGTGCCCACGCGTTCATTAAAGATGAACTATTATATTATATTATATTGTTATAAGGTATCATATTTTATCAGGAAACAATCTTTTAACAGTATCATGATAGTATATGTATTAATCATAGAAATTATTGATCTCCAATTATTAACCACGTCGTTGTATTTGGAGATTTACAATTTTTTTTATAACAGTTCAGAGTTTTCAAGACTTACCTTATACACATCATATCGAGTGATGATGTCATCGAACAGCGTATACAAACTGTTTAGCAGATTCACTACCTGTAAAAGCGGATTAATAGGGATGCATGATATTATTCATATTATTTACATATAAAATTTCACTAAAAATGAATTCGAAATAATTGGCGATGCATCATTTTTATCGTTTCCCAAATGCTTTGCGCATGTTTATTAGGCACGTGAAAATAAGTCGAATGAACACTCACTATTCCGGAAAATGGAAAAAAAAACATAAAACCGTAGTTTTTGCAAATGTCTTACCTCTATAGGAGTGCTACTGCCACAAATGGTTGTAAATCCTACTATATCAGAAAAGTAAATGGTTGCCTCATCAAAATGTTCTGCCTTCACTGTTTTGCCCAACTTAAGGTCCTCAGCTACAGACCTGTTAAACAAAGATGTTTGAATGAACACGAGATATTTTTTATTAAGTCTACTGATCTATATGTACGGCGGTCGAAAAATGGACTGAAAAACAATGTTTTATGTAAATGCGTTTAAAAAAAACAAATATTCGTACATGGTTTACACATGTTTAAATCTTTATCACTAATAGCTGGTTTATTTGTAAACAAAGACTTCGATGGTGAATTACAATGAGTATTTACATGGTTTGTATACGGTTTACTATTACCAGATCCTAATTTCCTTTGTTGTTTGAATTATTGAATTCTACTCGACACTCTATCTAAAATACCTAACAACTTTAACATTTTGAAGACGATTTCTGAAACTTTTATCGCAATCCAAGTATTTGTTATGTCAGCTCAGGAACAATTGATGTGAGTTATCAGTTATCAAACATAAGGATTGCTGATTTGAATTTGGAAGCTGTAGTTTGGGTTTCATTTTAGAAAAGTGAACATACAAACTAAAATTATCACTTAAATGCGATAAAAAGACTACAGATAGTAATATAGTTTCCACATAAAACACTTGATTTAACGTGTTGTTTGTAATCATTTTATTGTGGACTGTAAAATTGTTGATTTGGAATATATCAAAAGATATGAACAGGTCGCCAAAAGTGTTTTTTTTTCTATGAACGTTATCTTTATGAATGTGTTTTGCCTAAAGTTGTTTCATTACATACTGTGGCAACATCCTGTAGAGAAGGTTTTCTGTTTTCTGTTTTTCGGCGTCCAGTTCGCTGGTTCTCTCAGCCACTAATTCCTCCAGGTGGTTGGCATATTTTTCCAGAATGGCGATCATGTTATCAATCATGGTCATGTTTCTACGTAAAGAAAGCAATAAATGTGCAGATAATGGGAAGATAATCGTGCTAAGTTTGAATCGGTTTTGTGACGTCACAATTTACCGTTATTTTTAACACGGAACAATGCTCTGTTATTGGTTGGATAAGTATGATTATATAAAAATGGGTGTACAGGATCATCGTACATGTATGAAGAAGGACTTACCTCAACTTTCTTTAAACAATTACCCTTCTTTTATACACAATAAGACATAACGAAGTAGTAAATGTACAATTTCTTACTTGGACGGATTTATACGGTTGAGTGCTTTCGTAGTTCTGGCAGCCGAAGGTCTGAGAAGTGGGTCTTCATTCCAGCACTCTTCTATAAGGGTCTGTAAGTCAGGGCTCTCTCGGAGCTCCGCAGAAATCATTGGACGGAATGGCGCTGTCCGAGATACGCGATCTCTGACTCTCATTATGATCTCTGTAATTACATTAGAATTGCGCATAAGTCACTACTCTATGATTCATTTTATTCTAGTAACAATTAATCATTTTCTTCAATGCTTTGATGTCATGATAGCTGTAAAGACGATTCCTTAATTTATGCTTTCAAATAGTGATTACTATTCTATACCTATGTTCATATGGTTTTACTAACTGTAATTATGGTAAATACTGTATTAGTTTTATATAAAAAAGGAAAAGGAGACGAGTTGATGAAAAAGAAATCCAAACATGATCGATGTATAGTTCAATAATTACCATGTGGAGTAAGGAACGGATATTCCGTGTAAGGTCCCGACCTGGTGAAAACCTCCTTTATGATGATACCAAGAGAATATATGTCTCCCTTCTGTTTGTCATATATCTTGTCTGACCTCAAAATTTCGGGACACGTCCATAAAAATTCTGCAAAGTACGAAGTAATTTTTTTACAATGCTGATATGCTATTCGGTATTGTTTAAAGAAAACAAATTGAACGTTCATCTCAAATACTGTACAAAATAGACGAAATCACACTATCTAACGAATTTAGAATGAGATTCAGGAAAATGAAATAATGAAGTAAACTGCAATATTGGTGAAAATAAATGTCAGAAACTAGATGGGAGAGGTGCACCTGATCCGTAATTGATACATTTGACAATTTGTAAGCATCCGATAATTAAAAAGAATATTAAATACACTAATGCAAGTGTATATATCAAAGTGTACATTAGGATTTTAATGATAATTTCTGTGTATCTTTGAATTCTATATTTTCAGCAACAAACATTGATGCTGATATTTTCTTGTTTTCCGTCTACTTTGTCATAGATATTATACTTACTTGAGTTACTCCCCTCGTCTGTGACACTAGCAGAACATTTGTCCATCAGTCTAATAGTGGGCACTCCAAAATCTGTCAATTTACATGTCCATCGACTATCCACTACACAGTTGGAACTTTTTAGATTACCATGGTAATGTATGGAACACTTATGAATGAAATCAAGACCCTACAAAAAAACAGTTTAAAGACTGAATAGAAACGTCAATTGCATGTTATATATCAAAAACAGTACAAAGCTTATTTGTGAATCAGTTTTAATATTCCTCGTGAAATAATATGTATATTTACAGCTTTGTTGATAAACATCAGCTTTTGGTTTCGATACGTTTTCGTACCGTATTGTACAAATCTTACCTTTGCAATATCCTGTGTCAGAGCAAACATAAACATCCTGTCCAGTTTAATGTTTTGGTTCCATATGACGTCCTGGGGAGTAGAATGACCATTGTTTAATACAGGCCTTGTCCATAATAGTTTTGATCATAATGACATTATCTGTAGCCATTATTTTTATAAAAAAGTACTTCAAGATAATATGTGATATTCACTATTTTTGTTAAGCGTGTATTATCATGTTTAATTTCTAATATGTATTTATTACCCTTCTTCCAAATTCGCTTTACATAAGAAATGATGCTATGAAAATGAAAAAGACACCGATACCTCTACTCACTGTTCACCGACAGTTCGACATTTCTATTGAAAATACATCTTCTTCGAAATACATCTTACTTGTAAACTTCCTTTTGGACAATATTCCCATAGCAACAGAATTCTTCCCGGATCCACACAAGCGCCGACGAACGCGCAGACATTTTGATGTTTCAGTTCCATCAGCTGCGAAAACAGTAAGTTCGAAAAGTTCTTATGATTTTTGGTACCAATGCCTTTGCTCTTCATATAAGAACAATTGCCTGGTGACAATGAAGCAAACGAATAAAATTATGATTTTTAAATGATGGCATCCGTATTTTATCACAGTATCTGATGTCTTTAAGTTGATATAGAAAATAACTGAAATATTGAGACAAGGAATATGAGAAACAAACGTAATAATGACAATGGTAATAATACAAGCTGCGGGACATTTTATTTCTCGGTTACTATGGCGACAAATATAGACGCTCGTTAACAACAATTCTAAATTTTGACGGAAATTTCAACATCATGTGATGTCTGGATCTTATTGACATATGTTATAATGCATGATTTAGTCTTACGTGATTGAGCTCCTGTAGTACATCTTTCGTTACGTTGACACTGTTTCGCGACATTCGCTTCACCGATACTAAACTCCCTTAAAGTAAAAAAAAAAACATGGATAACATAGTGATCATAGCTAAGACGAAGATAAAACTCCAACTAGGATAGAAATTATTTCGTCGACAAGATTAAGATTTATTCTTTTACCATATATATGGAAGTCTTCAATTACAACAATAGACAATTCCAAGGTAAAATGACAAAAATGCTAATTAGTATACACATACCTCTAATGTAAGCAACAGACCCAAACATGGTGCTACCGTGATCTGGCTTATGGCAATTTAGGGGCGACTGATCAGGAGAACCTTTGTAAGCCATATTGTTCCTTTCCAGGGATTTTGTCTTCATTAGGTTCTTTTTCGTGTTTGACCGCCTCATGCCCTGGGTCTTAAAACTCGCCTACAATTAGAACAAGAAGAAATGCGATTCAGCTTTGAACACATTTCCCTGTGATACTTAAAAATGCAATGTTGCATTATGTTCTAAGACAAATAACCTTTTAATTTCATATACAAACGAATGCTTGTTAAATTGGAATGAAATTCTATATTTTATATTTAGTGGATCGCGAGTTAAAAGCAATTTTCAGCAGGTTTGTAAAATGAAATTGATGTACATCATTCACACTAAACGAAACTAATTTTAACAGGTAGTACGTACAAGACTATGAAAATAAGTTGACACAACCAAGTACTTGTGGTAATCTTTGATGAACCAAACATCATTTTTTTCTGTAAATCCATGTTTTGAAAACGTTAACAACGGACCAGGTCAAAATATAATGACTAAATAATTGATATTGAAAACTTACTCGAACACTGACGTTCAAAAGTGCAGTTACAAAATCTATTTCCTCAAATCGAACTTGCCACAGCATACTTTTTAACAACTTCTGTCGTCGATATCGTCTGAAAGAAAAAAGTTTTAAACACTCAATCAGAAAACATGTAACATATAAACTTTGTCCATTTTACAACGAATGCGAAACAAGCTTATAAATGAAACTGATATACATAATTCATGTTTACCCAGATTGAAACAAAAGAGAGATTTTCCTGTGAGACGAAAGCGAAAGCGCATGTGGTCGGGTAGGTGAACGAGGAGGCCCAATTGGGGAAAGGTTAGAACGAGCGTATTACCACTGCGCCATATAATTACATGGATATGAATTCGAATACTTCAATGTGTTAGTATATTGCTACATTAGAATTACATTATACATATATTATGCACACCATTACACTCCATTGCACTCCATTTTAGCTAATATGTAAAAATGTTTAAATCCTATTGAACTATATGATATCATTACTTTCCAAGTTATATGAAAGTTATACTTAGATCTTCCTATGAGACCTCATATATCTTTCCCGGATGTTTTGTTAACCATGTACTTCCCGTCTCAGAACTCGCAGTTTTGATTGAAAATGGGAAAAATCATAAAAAGCCCCAGGTATTTTGTTGTGAAGTTATGACATGCTGCTTGCACAAAAGATAGTCACTTTTGATAGATGGACATTGAAAAAGTCACTACTTTGTACAATATCAGCAACATCCGGAGACGATATAGTGTACAACATTTTATAAATAATGATTTTTTTTGACGAGTCAGCCTTGATATAAGGCGTTTTGTGTGTTGTGTCTTCTCATCGTGTGTGGATATGTTCAGCATGAAATAAAGAACCAAAACAACTCTGATAGGCAATGCATTTTACTTTTGAAGCAAAAATTGGACATCAGTACATTTACATTCGTCCTGTAAGAATCAAATTCATATCTATCTCTAGATTGTTCCTTATGTATCATATTGTTTATATAGAATCATGTCAGACATGCAAAATGATATGGGACATATTTATAAGCCGAGACTGGCCATGCCTCTTGCGTTCTTAATTAGTTATTTGGTACGAATGTTATATGAAGCGTAGATAAACACCAGTTAATAAATAACTGATCGCAAACAGAAGAGGCTATAATTTGAATTGGTTTATTCCTTCTTATATTGATAGGTGATCAGGGAATTCCTCGTCCTCCTGAAATAAAACGAAAAAATCCTTAAAAGCAATGCACAATTATATATAAAAACGCCGCATGATTAAAGATAAAGCGATCGTGCGTGGTAACGAATGATTGACAAGGCACCTTTAGCACAGTATGGACATTTTGATTGTATTTTGTTTCTCGGTCAATTGATACAAGGCTATCAAGTTTTAAATGTTCCTTACAAACAGTACCAGTTCTTACACGGATCAGCAATGTCAATTTTACCTCAAGACGTGAAATAAAAGATCTCGTGATAAATGTCCTAGATCAGTGACAAAAACGATCAAAATGATATCGATAAGTTTTGCTTTATGTGATAAATATATTCTCGATTATCTCTATACATTTAAGAACTTTTACACACGTTGATTAAACAAATCTTTGCTTTGAGAACATAGGTTGGATATAGTTCACAAACACGTTGACGACGTTCCTTTCAAACTAATAGAAACATTAGAAACATTTTAGAATTGCATAACGGCTGTTATTGTTGTAGAAACAACAATCTTACCTCATCTACATGGCCGTGTCTACTGCCCCACAATGCTTACAAACAGGCTCTTGAAGTCTTTGTAGTAGGAACATTCGGTTTTTCTGTACAGATGTTCTGACACTGTGAATACAGGTAGGTCCATGTACTGTGGTGTACTGTGTCTCCGAACGCGACGATACACAATATAACTACATCAGTCTTATTCAGTCTTAAGACTTTCTTTACAACAAATTTAGAAAATTGAAACTGAAAATAAGAGTTTCTAATGTCTTCAGTGTCTGATATAAATGTGAAACACCACGTTAGTTGGACATACTCTATCCAAAAACCAAATTCGTAATATATGAAACATTTCTAAATGTTGTCTACAATAAATATTAGTGTTTGAATTTACGATATTGTCAACAGAATTTTCAAAGTTCTCATATTAATGCATTTTTTCTATGTTTCATGCAGGATCATTAGTGTTTAAGGATATAAGAATACACCTGACGTTTTATTTACAACATGAAAAATATCAAATTTAGAAGACTGAATAGTTTAAGAGTGTCCCTGATTTTGCAGCATTGTTTAGGCCAAAAGTTATTTACTAAACTTGATTGGCAGATTTGTACGCATTTGGTCCATTACGTTTGCTGGCTTGTACTAAAAGAACTGCACGAGCAGTTGATATTTAATAACATATTTTATTTTTACGTACTGTAATGTTGAGTATGCTGCTAAAATGTGTCTAGTAAAATCATTTAATAACCATGTTAATTTTATATCATACTAACTTGAAGGCTATATCTTGCATTAAAAATGATGTAAGCCTATTGCTACAACATAAAAATACTGACATATTACGTGGAGTTGATCACATAGAAACTTTGATCCCTATACATGCAATAAACAGTTCTGACACAGCTAAACATGATATGTTTTGCAAATAGTTTCTAGTATTTTTTATCTTTATAAGAAAGGGTTAAAATATCGATTAGATATTAAAAACGTTTCTGGTTTACTTGCAATATCACTTAAGTTCTTGCTTAAACGGTAACCATATTTTGATGAATACACTGTTCAAAAAATCCGAAGATATCTTACTTTCTTGATGTTCATTGAAGCTGCGCATAATGTAATATAGAAGTATACATATTTATTATAAATGGTACCTTAAACGACAACATTGTACTAAGAACATACTAGATCAATGTTATTTACAAACGGAATTTAGAACCATGTTTTTTTAGATACCTAATGCTTACACCGAGTAAAAAAGTGCTGTAAGCATGATATTTTGTACATGACTTTTAACAGGTAATTATTTGATAGACACATGGTCAGAGATACCGGAGAAATAACCAGTAAAGCAGTCAATATTTTGCATGATCCCCGGTCTCTAACTTTAGATTAAATGGTGCCTCCTTCTATAAACTTTTAAGAGATATGTGAAATCAGTTGAACCATCAGATGTTAATACTAGTGATAAACTACGTTGTTAATGCTAGGTTTACAACTACCAGACGTCATGTTTAATATGTTTTAATATTACCAGATGAGGTAGCTACAGACATGACGCTACAAAACATTGCTATCTACTCACCTTCGTAAGATGTCATAAACACTGCGTCACTATTACGGATATCGTATCAGATAGCATTACCCTCCTTATTATGTTAGAAAGAACAATTACATATGTTATACTAACAGAATATACTATTTGAAGTCCTACCCCTGGAAGACATCTAAACAATTCAGGTTTAACTATATCTTAAACTACATACCTCCGTTCGATATCAGAAATATCATCATCCGTAACGCAATGAAGCTACCTGCCTCTGTAAACGCTTTGAAATAGCAATGTATAGCATTACACCATACGTCTACTTACCTCCTTTAGATATTAAAAATATCATTCTTTACAATGTATAACGATGCCTCCTTACATCTGATAGACGTTTCTATGGGCAATAACAACTGACAGTCGAAAACAGGACATCCTATTAGAGGTATTTATCTCTGTAAGATGTTTAAACCGGTGCTTCCAATTATAACTACTTACCGACGTTAACCGTTTGAAATGACTTTGCTAAAGGATTTCGTATTAAAACTATTTACCTCCGTACGATGCTTAATATGATGATGACAACCAGAACGAACGACGACACGGTGACAGACCCAAGTATAATGACTTTATTATCTGTACAAAAATGAAAATAAAAAACGTCACAGGTCGTGGCCAGAGCCGGTGGTATCGTCAGTTACTACATACAAATATGATACAACTGTTATACAAAAGACACACTACATGCAAATATAGTACAAAGATTAGAAAAAAGACACACAACTTACAAATATAGTACAAAGATCATACAACATGTTTCCGCATCTGTACTGAAAAGAAGTCGTTAATTCAATCCTTTAATCAAATACTTGAATAAAATCAACGTCTTTTGAAGCTGTTAAGGAATGAAACTGGTAGCATGCTGGTTGGTGTAACTACAAACTAGCAAAAGTAGCTTACTATAACCGGTTAATGAGACATATAAATGACTATTTAAAATCTTAGCAAAAATTAGAACGATACTCGACAAAAATGCTTTTCTAATCAAATACACGTTTAGAATAAAATCACATTTTATTTTTAACGAAATTAAAGAAAGTGCAATATATATGATTAATTTGTTTATTGTAGCTGCAGCAGATGAATATATGATCCGTTGCTGTAATGATTTATGAGTTAATCAAACAACCTAAACAAACAGAATGTTTTTCTCTGTAGTGATGTTGAGTTTGCTAAACTTCAGTTCGTGGAAACAAACGTTCTTTACGTTTTATGGATTTAATCTATAGTAAATTATATCAATTGAATTATGAAATTTAATTTTAAATTATACACCTTGCATTCAAATGCTTATATTGAACGAGTATTATCCTGAAATAAAAAACTGTATTTTATCCCGTTTCCCTTTAGTTTTCGAGAAAAACTAAATGATGTTGTTTGTTAACTTGGATATGCTATATCTACTTTACAATTTGTATTCAAATGTGCTTTACAAAAATATGTTTGTTTTAAAAGACCGTTGTCTGTATTTATGATAATATATCGTACAGTTGAAACATGAAAAAATCCAAGACCATACCTTTCTCGGCTTTCCTGCATTTCTCGCCGTCAAAACCACAAATAGGAACATCAGGAGGGGCATTTTTGATGCTAATCTTTCCTCCTCCCCACCTAATGAGGTCCGGGTTCTCTACAGTCTACGAGGACAATAAAGAAAATGCAGTTTATGAATATATAAGCTTGTGCAAAAGATCGTACATTTTTGGTTTGTTTCATGACTGAATTTAAAATGTAGCATTTGACTACAAAGAGATCTTCATCCTTTTCACGTTACCGCGAAGTAATAGAAATATGATTTTATGGCAAAAGTATGACTTAGATAAGACATAGACGAGCATTATACTTCAACAAAAACGTACAGTTCTTGCAGCGAAGCTTGTTTTGTTGTAGTTGAGTTCTATGACTGTTTTGAACACCCCATCCTTCTGCATGTCCATCATACGGAAGTTCAGATAGCGGTCTCCTATAGAATCTAACACGATGTAGCCAGTCACGCCTGAATATAAGAACAGAAAATATGCCATGAAAATGAAGAATCGCATGTAACAGATATATCAAAACTTCAAATTTTATGTTTTCAGTTTACATTGATAACCACAATTTTATAACAAATCAATTTAAATGTCAATGATCCATTCTTGATATTAACATTAGCGAGAAAAACGAACAATGAAGAAGTTGTATGAGATTATAGAGAATATTCATTATCCACAATCCAGTGAAGTTTGTTCGGGCTAAGTGTCATATGCATTACCTTCAGCGAAGAAGTCTCCTGATCGTTTAAAGATATTGTTTCCGTTGGGGGCCTCGTTTTCGGACAAGGTTTTGTCGACCAACAATGCCCAGGCTAAGGTAGCATCATACAAGTAAGGGGAGTATGCGTCCGGCTAAAATGACCACAGAAAGTCAGATCTAAATACATCATTATTGATTGCAAGGGTAACGACAAGACTATAGGGGAAGACTGAGGAAAATTTCATAACAAAAAAGACACGATTAACAGCAGATTTTTGTCTAGTTTACAGTTGCCTTCCGTTTGAAATCTATTATATTATTAAAGATATACCTAAATATGAAATCGGATTCAATATGTTCAAAGTTGACTTTTGTTGCGTTTTGTTGGATGTTTGTGTTTCGTTCATATTTTTTATAATGCGAACAACTTACAGTCTTTGTACAAATGTAGTAGTTCGATAAACCTTTCAGTGATGACGGTATATTGGTTTCCGCGTTGTTTAAGTAGGAACTGTATACACGATACATAAATCAGTCAGACACCGCTTACATTAGAGTCTCTTGCTTTTATTGGCGTTCTATGTTTGTGGTCGTGTCACATCGGCTTGTTTACAAACAGAATCAGTGAAATGGAGTGTATGGTTCAGGAAGGCTTATCTGTCCAAAACGTTGGTGAGATACTGAATCTGAATATACCTAAGACTACTGTACATAGAATTTACAGGAATTTCTGCGAGTGGAAAATGGTGAAAGAACTGGGCCAACCCAAAAGTTTAACAGCACATGAAAATTTTAAGAGAACTGAAAACCGAGGGACAGACACCTTTGGCCAACATTTATAATAATTCTTATATTCATGAAAAGTATAAAAATATTTCATGTAAAACTGTATGGGTGTTTTTTTAATCAAATGAATATAGCAGATGTGCTTGTGAGAAACAAATTAGTTTTTCTCCTGTCAAGAGAGTTAAACATGTAATCTGATGCTATGAAAACCGCTTCTATACGGAAGAGGACTGGAAAAAAGATTCATTTCAAGATGGAAGTCAGATTGTGATTGAAAAAGACAACAGTATCGGAGGAAATCTAGCGAAGCATATCGTCCTGAGTGTATTTCTCCATGACTTAAAGATAAAAAGCTATGCATTATGAACTGGGAATGCATCGCAAATTAAGGTGCGAGACACTCGCTCCTGTTGATGGCAACATATATTCGGTAAAATATGTTGAAATTATAGACTAAAAAAACTTGTGGTCGGTGATTGTTATAGACGTTTTCACGATGGTAATGATGTGTTTTAGGACGACAACACTCCTGATCACCGCCTTTAATGCATTAATGGAAGCAAACGAAATATATACAATGAGCTAGCCGACTTAAACATCAAAGAAAATGTGTGGTTGATGATTAAAAGGGCAATTGAACACTTAGGTGGTAAAATAGAATCAAGCGAGCAAACACATCAAAACGTACTTTCCATTTTGACCAATTTTGAGGTTAAAACTATCCAAAATCTGTACTGATCGATTTCGAAAAGGATCTTTGCATGTAAAAAAGGCCCAAGGATACATCACGAAATATTATGCGAATAATATAAAATTTCAATCTATTTTCCAATATATTTGCAATCTTCTTCTTTACGTTGGTATACTTTAATTTGTTTTATGTAGATTCAAACTGCCAAGATCGTCATCTAAACAAAGCGCAAGCGGCACAACTATTGAAAACGTAATGTCACAGTCGTTCCACTACCTTTGTCCAAAGTCTGTACAAAAGGTTCCATTTCAGACATGACGTAACAAGTCATTTTCTGGTGACTGTGAGATAATGTGTTCCCTTTTGAAATACACTTTGTAAATTTACCTTTGTGGCATTTGGCAAGTTAATCCAGTTGGGACTTTGTTGATGGGCGTATTCCATTACAAACTCTTGGAATTCCTTTGCTCGTGTAGTAGTCAACGTGTCCATGTTTATCTATTGGAAATTAAATGTATTGGTTTAATTGACTGCGTCATACTTTTCCTGAATAGATATCATGTATGATAAACATGTGATATGTACATGCAGACTTTAATAAAACTCACGTGGATGACGGACTCAAAGGCTTCACGTGCATCATCGTCATGCGTGTCGTTCCTCTTCCAGCCTCTATTTGACGTTATGTCTCTCTCAATGACATCCCATGTATAAAGCTGCAAAGCGTATTCAAATATTTTTTTCGTTATTGCAATGCAATAATTCACTGTAGATATTCATTATAATTTGGAGCAAATGAAATTAAAATACACGATCAAGTGGGAATCGAGTAACGAATTACGGTCGCAGATATACAACGTCGACTTGATTTTTCACTTGGAGATGTGATATGAAAGTAAGCGAAAGAAAAGTGACCTTGTGTAGATTGATAATTCCCTTCTATGTAATAAATCGTTCATAGTCAATGTTAAAAGTGGCTTGAAACTATAGCAACACACTTTATTTAAGGGAGACATTAATATAACAACTATCACAAAAGTCACAACCCAGGGTAATTGTATACGGGAAAATCGTTTGAGTTAAAATAATGTATTCATTCATCTTATGTAACCAGGAAAAGAACAGTTTCAAAGAGGACCTTACAACTTGTAAAATCACGTTAGGTTTGGGATTGGGGCAAGGTCTACTGTGAAAAGCATTCATTCAACTCAACTACTGCAGACAGCAAACCTTTAAGCTGGTTGAGTTTTCTATTATATAACATTAATGTATATTACAGCGTGCTGTATAACTCACGTCTCCGTGAATACAGAGGAAGGCGAAGTCTCCATGTGTCATACCCTGTTGATGGGCCACCAGCATATATTTTCTCATCTCCATCCAAGGAACAGCGAAAATGATTACTACAAAAAATAAAATGGATATATATATAGTTGTTAAAGTTACGTGTATGTAACGCTAATACTTATATTGATTTTTATTGACAATTTCTTATATTTCACGGGCAAAGCAGGCGAATAGATACAACAAGCGAAGAAAAATACAAACAAGCATATAAAATTTTACAAAATACACACAAATTAATAACATCTTTTAATACAAATATAAATATAAAAATTTAGATAAAGAGATTCAGTACCATCATGTGAACAATAAATCGAAATACAAGTTACGGAAATAATTAAGAAAACAATGTCTCCATCATCAGTCCTTATGAATGTTTCCCTGTTATGGCATTTAAAAATATTTTTTTCTTTTTCTTACGTTCTGCTCTTCTTGACCGTTCGGAAAACTTACTTCTGGCGTACTTTCTGACCTGGTGGAATATCTTAGCAACTTGACTATCCTGCATCTGTGTGTTGACCATGTGTGTACTGCTAATGAAGTAGTTACTATCTGTAAGCTTAATGGCTTCAGCCACTGCTTTGTAGGGGTCGCGGTCGTCGTGGATCATGGCATACCGTTTCCATTTAAACATTGTTGACACGTACTGCAGGGTGATAGCTACAACCGTTTTATTGTCTTTTAAGTTGAATTCATTACATAGGCATAATGACCCCTAAAATGGTGGTCTCAGAATGAGATTTAAGGATAATTACTCGAATAAATGGAATAAAAGAATGTGTTTATAGAAACAAGAGGAATTATTAGGTACACAAAAACAGGAAATGGCAAATTTCTGTGATGTTGGCACGCAATCGTGAAAGTTATTTAGAATTAACTGTAAAACAATATTTCATTATACATTATCCAAAAAAAAACTACTTTGCATGTTTGCTATACGCACGGAACCTATTCAGTGGCCCGAGAAGTCGTATCAGAGTAGAGTAGGTTGTTCTGTTCTCAAATTCCACGTCATTTGACACCCAACCAAATACAGGAACGTTCCAGTGGGAGGCTAACTGAGCAACACCTTTCATAGCTGGAAATGGAAATTTCTGACTAATAAACACCAAGTATCTCAAGATAAAAGCTTGTTTTCAAAATGCAGTACATTAGAAAATGTTTTAATGACAATCAAAATATTGTTAGGTATTCATGTGCTATATCCGTATGCATGTGTTGTAAAATTGCATAATATCAACTTAAGCAAAAAGTGATAATTTTCCAAAATTTAAATTGAATAATGCAAATTCAATATAACTGATTCAGGACACCTTATCTTCAGATAAAATCGATCAGCTATAGTAAGGACACCCAAAAAATGATCATGTATGGTAAGAATATTTCGTAATACCGATAACATGTAGTAGTTATATTGGGGACAGCAAGTAACGCCGGTAGCATATGTAATTATGGTCAGGACAACCAGTAACACCGGTAAAATATATCAGTTATGATCTGGATACACAATATCAACGGTAAAATATATCTGTTATAGTCAGGACATTAATTTGCCTGTCATAGAATTTATGCAATTATGTTTTATGAATCTGTATATCACAATGATTCTTCTGCTACGTAAATTTTAATATCGAGTGATATCAATAGTGACATTACTGATGTAGTTGCCTACCTGCGGAACATGGAGGGCCGAGGAAAAGGTGAGGCTCAAAATTTATATGTGCGTCAACGGCTGCTGCCAGGGCTGACTTAGAGTTACAGTCCGAATCAAAGTGCATCACCCTGGTGGCAAAATGATATAAAGATAAAAACAAAGAAATGTTTACAGAATCTTAGTTCAATTAATAATGGAAATGCGGACACAATACTAAGAAAAGATTGCATGGACCCATTTGAAGGGTGGGGTAGGGTGAGGTAGGGTGAGGTCAGGGGTGGTGGGAAGTGGGTAGGGGTGGGGTCAGGGGTGGTGGGAAGGGGGTAGGGGTGGAGTCAGGGGTGGTGGGAAGGTGGTAGGGGTGGGGTCAGGGGTGGTGGGAAGGGGGTAGGGGTGGGGTCAGGGGTGGTGGGAAGGGGGTAGGGGTGAGGGTGGGGGAGTCGATTTGTGTAAGTGTCAAGTTCTCAAATGAAATAAGTTAAACCACGACGGGAACACGAACGACATGACAACCATAAAACTTCCCTAAAGTCTTCATCAACCTGGACCTGCAAATTTGAACCATTGTGAAAGTACATTGTATTTGTCAGATGTCGGCATCTTACACAAAATCTCAATATGTGGATGGGAACAATCCTTTTAATATCGTAGCAACTGCGACAGGTAAACACCATAGGTTGGAGAAACAGTTATGTTATTTTATAGATGGAAAGTCGATATCATCACATTTTTTGCAGCTTATTTGAAAGCTATTCTTGTTTGTTTCGTTGTGGGAAAATATTCTGGCACGTGGCTGAAATAATCGGCTGTCGTGTCCTTAATTTCTACAACTGCCATGCATATTCGACAGAAATGAACAATATATTACTTGTTGGTTATTATCACAAGACTGGACATTATGAATAAATCAATAAGTGAAGTTGAATCACCTGGACATGTGTCTATGACCTGTTTTGATAAGCCGTACCTCCTATGAAAATAGAAGCTTTTAATATATTGTTCATTTCTGTCGGATATACATATCAACAAAGAGTTCTATGTTTAGTTTATCTTGAAATTCACATGTGATAACGTAAAAATGTAAAATCAAATGTTACAAAAAAGTTTTATTGAAAATATTTATCATCGATAGCATAGTAGAGAAGTGCGGCCATATGATGTAACAATTGCAATTTTGAGCAAAGGCGGTTGAGTATTTTTAAACTGCACTTGACTTTGGATGTTGTCATATATACAATGACCAGCCTTTGAGTACATAGTGAGAACAAATATTTCCTCTCCTGTGTTATTCAGTACGTAGTGCAAGTCATCAATTTGTCTCTGTTACAGATGTTTTTTTTCAAACCATGAAATTACTAAGTGGATCATAAGCACTTTGAATTTGATTAATAAATCAAAACATTTTCAATTTGAATTTTAGATTGCACCATAAATATCTATATATATATATTGTTGGTGTTGTGTATTTGAATTATGTTTGCACGTATTATCCAATATATTTTCTTTATGCTACACTTGTAAATCAATCTTGATACAAGGTTAACTCAGTTTACGCGTTTAGTTGTTTCAGTAGGATCCTAGTATTGTGTTCTACTATCGAAACCAATGTAGCTAAAGGTCAGGAAACGGTCGACTGAAAACTATGTATACTTATAAAGCGAAGAAATTCCAAGTATCGTTAGATTAAGCGGGGGTGGGGGAGGGGGGAGGGGGGATAGTTTCCTGTAGTATTGGGACCAGTAAATATATAAAATCAGACTTTCAGATCATTTTTTATATGATTAATTGCCAATAGACAAATGATGAAACAGAAAACCATCCGTGCTAACAATGTTATCCCAACTTTTCTATCAATAGCTTCACTCTGATTTATCAAGATTTACAAGACGGGCGACTTGATGCAGAAGACGATTAGCATGTCCCCAGAACACCTCGTCGTTTAATACTGCAACGTTTGAAATGATTTCTCCCGCTTAATTATCATTTATCTAAGCACTGAAAAATCACCGGATTGTATTTACCGTTGACATGAATGAAATCTTGATGACAGATAAACAGAACGACACCTGTTGACAATAATTAGCCAAACGTTCAATAGGTAATTAAACATTAAGATAATTTTTGAGATACCATCGTAAAAATCATATAGCTATATATTTTCCCTTGTGATCGATATTATTCTTCTACATAGCACCAACATTACGTTATAGCATTACCTTGTTATCGAGACAAAATCTACAATCTATTATGAATACTATCCAGATAGATTAACATCGAGTTAATGTAGAACTTAAATAATGGGTTTACTGCTTTCTACTGTAGCAAGAATTAACGAGATTGTCTTCCCAACAAACTTTAACTTATTATTTGTGAGACGAGCTTGTCAGGAGAGTCTTTAAATGCATAAGTGTTACAAACAAGTTCTTTCATTTCATACAGTCTTCTTAAGAAGTTTAATGAGATCTCTCAAAGGTAAAACGCATAGCAAAGAGTGACATAAAACGTCAGAACAAGCTATTTGATAACGGACAGTGAAATTTATTAGAAGAGGTTCACTACTGTGATCACTAATGATAATGCCTCATACCACTTTTACAGTGTATATCTGGGTCGAATTCAAATTCACCTTTACGAAGTATGCATACAGATATTTAATTTTACGAAGATATCTGTGTCAAACGATGAGATATTTTCATATGAATTTACAATTTTCAACATTAAAGCTGCATTCACCTGCATTTCTAATAGCAAATTACTTCATGTTGTTCTATAATGGTGTTTGTGATGTCGGATATTTTAGCAGTAATTGAATGATCTTCAGTATGTCAGCATCATTAGTTGAGAAAGCATGATGCCACCATCGTGAGAGTTGAAGTTTTAATACAGACGCTTCCAGAGGTCAGATCGAGATCAATAGCTGTATCCGACATGGAAAGTATATATGTTTGATATTTGTGAGAAATTTTGGTATATAAAGTAAACATAGTCGTACAGTCTTAACGTTTATAACAGTAGCGGGGTATTACAGTACTGCTTTTGATAGGTTACCGGCGGAGTCAACAATGAACATATTATTATAGATAACCTAAGCATTTCACAGCACTTGACTTATGACAGGTCTTACCGATTCCTAATCACGCCTATAGCAGCCTTATTTTGTTTATGATTTTAATGCTACAAAATTAAGAATGCCAGTTATTTGCGGAGATTAGAGAATACATCATAAAAATTATATAAATTTGATAAATGGTGTCATAAATAGTAAATTTGATCAACGATCCCCCTCCCCGCTAAAAAAATGAAATAAACCATTTTTTGAAAGACCTGATAGAGAGACTTAAAAAACCAAAGAACGAATTTCAGTATAAGGTGATAAAGATAAGCAATCGATTATCCTCTATTAAGTTATAAATAACACTGCAGGTGACTATTTGTATATCTGAGTAAATGTAAAGGTGACAAATACCTTTAGTGGTTTTGTGTAAACATGTGAAGATATGTAATCAAGTGTCGCGAGCTAAAGGAGTGTACTAGACTAGTCAGTCTCACCTGTATGTGTAATTAACTATTAACGCGTGGTCAAAGGTAGTCTACACGCTTGTCAACTCCTTATGTTTACAACTGCTAGGAAATGTCACGGAATGAAGTATTGAGATGTTAGGTAATGTTGTTTATGAAACACAATTACCGGGTTATACACATCCTTGTGAATAATTCATATTGTAGATGTGGTAATATATGTGTACAATGTCTAATGATTTTAAGCATATAACAGAGTATCTGTAATTCTTTCTGCGATGCTGATGTCAGAATGTACGAAAGATATAATTAATTTTCACTTATCATTTTTTTCTTTTTTTTTTTAATAACACGTATTTTGTGATTTTGTTTTTAATCTGCTATAGAATGATACCTAAATAATAAGACAAAAAGGAGTGAAAACGCTTAATTTTTATTTGATTTAAAGGTCTTTGTAACCAAAATATGAAAACTTGAAAATAATGACTTAAATCGTTTGTTAGACCATGATCTAAAATTCAACGTTTTTATTTACGACTTTATGCTTAGATAGAGATATATTCAAGCATATCTTTTACAATAAAAAATAGGGGGTCACTATGCTTTGAGCTTTATCCAATTTTCACTCAAATATCCAGCTTTACAAAGATCGTAAAACAAACTGAAATATTCGTTATCAGGTCCTTAAAATTATGGAAGGTGATCAACCAAATCAGAATTCATAAAAACAATCGTTCAAATTCAACAATAAATTCAAGACTAAAGAAATGCAATCCTCAAGCGAGCTTGCTTTAAAAAACTCTATATAAGCTTATAATTACCACTATAGAAAAAACAGTATTAAAAAACAACAAAAAAACTTAGTTAATCAGAAAGTAATGTCACGTTTTACAAGTATGTCCGTCAGAGAACGACTCCTTGCACGAAAATCGTGATAATTGGAATACATCCTTGAATATCGAGTCGTTACGGATTCAAGGAGGTTGCTACACAGAAATAGACAATTCATATTAGAAAAATTGAAATCGTCACATTTATCATACAGCTTTATGGTAAGATGTCCACGTTGGTTTCGTTGTAGGGAAAAATCGAGATTAAGCGACTGATGCACGAGAGTGTGTCGTATCCTTGATGTCCGATTCTGGTGAGTATGTATGATGGACGTGGTCAATAGATTTCTTGTTATTTAAAGACAAGACGTCATCAATATATCTAAAAATGAAATTAAATAACGACCTGGTTTAATTAGACCTTCGATACAATTATCCTTATATGATTTTTTTTAAAAGTCGGCCTACAGAGTTAATTCCCATATATGTGCCAATAGTCTATTTGAAGATCTTACCACCAACAAGATGAAGATGTTGTCAACCAAAAACGAAGTACACTTCAGTAATGATCACAACCATATAATAAATATTATTTATACCGCTGTTCAGAAGTAAGTTCTCGTAACATAACAACCAACGAAGGCGTTTGTTCGGTTTAGAATGGGGTATGATGGTATACAGAGTGGACAAATGAAATGCTGTTATAGAAGAAATGTTTTGAGAAGGGGGCGTTGAAGATTGTTTAAAAGATCTTCGGGTTTCTTTAAAATCCACATACT